CTGCCCAACTGTGGAGACCGGTCCCACCTGTCACCAGGCTTTGGGAAGTGGCGTCACGCCCGACCGCTTCTCTCGAGGAGGGCGATCGCCCTGGCATAACGCCGGGGGCTACTGTCGGTGACATGGGACCGGGAGTATCCTGACTAGGGGCTTGGGCAGGAGCAATCACCCACGAGGCCTGACCCCCTCGGGGGAGTCGGGCCCGAGGGTGACGTGGCCGCCCCCCCTCTTCGTCTCCCCGAGGAGTCGGACCACTCCCGCTTCGGCCCCGAGGGCTGAGGCGCCCCGACCCCTTGTGGGTTTGGCGCCGCGTGTATGGGTTGGGTGAGCACAACGGGGCTCACCTAACCGCATTTATTGCGGTTTAGACGAGCGCGTCACGCCGCATGTAACGCAGTGCAGCGCGCTCGTTTATCCGGTCTGTGACCAGTCACAGACCGATCGGATCGTGGGTTAGGTGGCGACAGGCGGTCTGACACACGCCTCGCCCCATCCCGTCAGGATGAGAGCCTCCAAGCACTCGTCCCTAGCCGGAGCCGGCGTGTTACCTCCTGGAGATGGCACGTTGGTCCCGGTCAGATATATGCCAGGCTTCATCCTAACCATTACAAGCAAGACATTGTATGAAGAAGGGCGAACATGCAGATTGCTAAACTGACACGTGGTGGACAAGAATGACCGATTTGTGACCGGTCTGACACTGGTCATGTCGACGGCAGACAGCCATGTTCCCACGTCGCGCCTGCTTCCGGCGGAAGTGGAGGTAGGTATGGGCCGTCCCATCAGAAGGTCATTCGGACGGCAACCATACAAATCTCCGTCCATTTATGAAGAGAAGTCAAGCCAAGTTTGGGGGAAGAGAGAATAAGTCCCCACACAAAAAAGAAGAGATGGTGCATGTGGTATCCCCTTGAGATATAAAAGGAGGACCTTGCCCACTTAGAAAGGGGATTCGGATCCAGAACGATCAAGGCTGGATTGAGAACCAGAGGAGAGGGTTTCTAGAGTAAAAGCTCTCTGACCCTCCAGCTCTTTGTAGTTTTTCATACACAGATCCACCAGAACACAGGAGTAGGGTATTACGCTTCTCAGCGGCCCGAACCTGTATACATCGCCCGTGTCTTGTGTGCTTCTTCCATTTTCGCGAACCTTCCACAGACCAAGAGCTTAGAATCTCACCCAGGGTCCCCGGCCGAACCGGCAAAGGGGGGCCTGCGCGGTCTCCCGGTGAGGAGCCCCACGCTCCGTCAGTACCCTATTGCATAACTCATTTCCTGCTAAACTGAGAGTATAATGTACACTAAAATGCCACATTTTCATTGAACCCAGTACATCCATCCATTCACTGCAACTTGCCCATTCCAATTGAACAGAACCTACTCACTTCAACTGCAAATAACCATCCAATATTCCAAACAAATTTCCATTCCAGATTCGACAACAACAAGATGACAGCACCACAAATGACAAATGACAGCATCACCAATTTCAATTCCAACCCGATACAGATGACAGCATGACAACAACAAGATAAGATAACATTCATTTCCTACCCATCAACATGGTAAAAACAACAACAACAAGACCTAGAACTACCAACAACATCACAAATATCTCTAACTCCAACCTATTATTCCTATCCTTCATCATCCCTACAATAGCTTCCTTCTCACCAACAGCATTCCTTGATGTGGCCAATTCCTTTCTAGCTAAATCCAGCTCTGATTCCACAGATCTTCCTTCTTGAACAGCAGCCAATAGCTATGCCTTCTCCCTCCTGAGCTTCCACACTTCGTCCCACAAATCGTTTAGCACTTCTCTCAAGAAGCTGCTAGTCGGACCATCAACCCAAGCAAAAAAATCGCAACCTCCACTCTGCAACAGTAAATAAATGAAACCCTAGAACTCAGCCAAAAAAATTGAAAACCATATCAAAACTCACCCTTGCGTCTGCACATTTGAAGTAGCGGCGGCCGGGATTGTCCGGGCTCCACAAAATCCACCTCGCCGCCTTGCTACCGCACCTGCATGCCACCGCCGGCTGATACTCCAGAGGCCCAACCCGATACGGGATGGGGGATGGAGATGTGCGCCTAGAGGACGCCGACGAGCCCTCACTCCTCGAGCTTGCCATTCGTCGACACTCGTCGCTGTCGCCGCTTCGCCGCCGTAACCCTCACCGTCGTATCCCTCTCCGCCGCCGCTTGTAGTAGGGATGGGGAACGAGCGAGAGAGTAGATAGGCGAGAGAGCACGCGCTATTTATTCCCAACTACCACCGACACGTCAGCGATGTTGACCGGGTCCAACTGCCACGTCAGCGAAAACCGCTCGCAAAACTGCCATGGGAGTCGGGTTGCCCAGGATTTCAAAGTTTAGGGGTCAAGATATCTGGTTTTGCGGTTTAGGGTCATGAATTAGATTCCGATCACTTTTGAGGGTCATGAAGTGAACTTATTCAAACTGGTCATCCCCCGCCCAGGCAGGCCGCGTCCGTGACGTACCACTCTTGGCGCCTGCGCTCACGCAGGCCGACGCGGCAGTCGTTCTCCATGTATGGAGTACGGGACCCTCATCCCGCTAGGCCGGCGGATGCGGCCGCCTCCTCGTCACCCGCGCGGCCGTGCTCGGCGCAACGTACGCGCACACGCAGTGGCCACTGCTCGGCCAATGCCCAGGCCCAAGTGCTCAACTCCTGCCGCTTCACACGCCGACGATGGCGACGAGCCGACGACGAGGATGATCGAAGAGCAAGGGCGCCACCGCGCCAGCGACAGTGGTAGTATCAACATGTGCTATGACGGTGAGTGAAGCCAGATCCATTGCCATTCCAGATGACAAACAAGTTAGAAGTCGGCCCTCGAAATCCCGACGCGTACTGTGCATATGATCTAGCCGCGCTGGACGGCAGGGGTGGCTCCAGCAGAATTTTGGCCCAGGAGCGCCCCCCCCCCCCCCGACGGCCCACACAAAAAAAAGAGCCCACCAAATGTGTTAGGGTTAGCTCAGCTGGCAGAGGAGAGGCGCACGTAGGCGGCAGACGCTCGGCTCTCCAATCCTCCCCAAATCGTGCCGCCTCTCGGTCTCCCGTCGCCGTCTCCCGCTCCTCTCGCTCTCCCGTCAGTCGGCCAGCGCTGCTGCGCCGGAGGCCATCGCCTGGCCACCTGCTGCCCCTCCCACCCTCGCCTGACGCCTGCAGCCGCCGCCCGTCGACCGCCACAGCCCGGGCCTGGCGCAGCACTCGGCAGCACTCCGGCCGGCGGCGGCCAGCTGATGACCCCGCCACACCGCACGGCGGCGGCGGGTTTGCGGCGCGACGGCTGATCCCTCCTGCTGGCCGAGACTGACGAGCCGGCGAGCCGCCCTGCCCCCGGCCGGCCGGCCCCTGCCTGCCGACTGCCTACTGCCTGTCTGCCTAGTGCATTGGCAATTTGGCATATGTGAGTTACTCATTTAGTCATTCGTAGTCTTTTGTATTTACTTTGAATAGACCGGTCATTGTGATGGTGAATGAAAAATATGGATGAAAAAATGTGAATAAAAACTGAAACTTAGATTTTTTTTAAGCAACAACTTAGTTAGTAGTCAATACGACTTAGTTTCTCATTAATTTGTGGTGTAAATTGCAGTGGCACGTGAAAAGGAATAGAGACATTGTAAGATATTTGAATTATTTATGTTGTAATAACTTCCGTAACTTCGAACTTAAATGTTGGTTTTAATTAATTTGTAATGTTCTGAGCTATATTGCAATATTTGAATTATATTACCACTGTATTTGATAATTTTGACTTGATTTTATAACATTATGACAATTTGGCACGCCAAGTAGGACCACCCAACGAATTGATCCTGGAGCCGCCGCTGCTGACGCGGTACCGTACGCCGCCGGCCGCGTACGTTGCACCCGTAACACGTCAAGACAAGCAGACAGCGGCGGCGTCCGACCGACGGCATATTACCGGGCCCCCCTTGCAGACGACGGATGGAGAGATCGTTCACGTGGCGCACGCGAGCAGTGCCTCCTCCCACGGGCGGCTGTGCTGTCGATCGAGCGGGCTGGGCAGGGGCAACCCTGTGGTGTCCGACTGTCCGAGCCACGTGCAACGGCGCCCTCCGCCCCCGTCGTCCCCGTGACCCTCCGGCCGGGCACCCAGCGCGCCACGCATGGACATGCCGATGCGTCCATGGCCGCCTCCTCTCCTCGCCACGCGTGGCCAGAGCGGCACGGCGGCGGGTGGGCGGGCGGGGGAAGTTCGCTGTCTCAGGTGCCGAGGAGACAACGAGGCGACAACGTGCATGACGTACGCGTTCCTCTCTCTGCACAGAAGGCACTACTGTTCCACCCTACGGCCGGAGGACAATAATGTTGAGAGTGGATTTTAAACTATAGGTCATTCCTTCGTTATTTGTATATTTGAGTTATGAGAAAATTTAAAATATGTATTAATATATGATATATCACTCCACAAATATGAAAGTTAAAATTCAATTTCCACAATTCACAACGAAAAAAACAAATTAGACTACAACTATTTAATGTGTATTCAAAAATAAATTTCTTTTTTCGTTGCAATACTTAAAAGTTAAGTTTAATTTTGCATGCTTGCGGAGTGATTTATTACATGTTAATATATTTTTTAGAATTTTTTACATAACAATTTAAGTAACACGTAAACAACGAGTGACACGTTCACTCGAGAGTTAATAGTTTCCCAATAATGTCCTTCCGCGCTAGCATCATATGGAAACAAGCGCAGAGCTGTTTGTCCGTCTACGCTGCTGATCTACTCCAAAGATCATCTTTTCTACCGGTGTTCTTGCACCTATTGAATGCAGTTTCAGACGCTGGGAAGAAATGATATGTTTCACCAGCAATTCTGCAGAATTCCTGTAGCTTCCATGTTCTCAACAGAGCCTAGCTAAGCACCTAATCATTTTTTTTAAGATCAACGGATCTGAAAGACTTATTATAACACGTGGAGGATTCACTCTGACAACTCGACAGAAAAAGACGCTGCATTTGCGAGTTGCGACACGAGCAGTTAGGCTGAGCGCATCTACCCCGTGTACCAAAACAACGAGAATTCATCGTTACATCGTCGTGTTGTCGTGACAAGACGTATAGCCACCAAAGCAATACGTTCCCAACACATACACACCATGACACTACTGTAAATTTGACTGCTAAGATGTTAATCAAGAGTACATTAAAGGATGTTGATAATGAAAATACGACTGGAAGGGCGGCCAGGACAAGGTTCACATGCCTGCTACAACAAATTTCGCTTCGGTGAAGCAGCATCGTCGTTTTTCTTTTCTTTGAGAGGCCAGCATCATCGTTGAGCCTGCACGTATCCACTTTATCTTTTGAACCTAATAATGCACAGATAAACAGGTTACGACCTGCCCAGAAAAGTATATACGTACAAACGAAGGCGATGCGACTAATATTAGGAGTGCGACATTTCAGTAATCAACCTAAACAAGGTTGTTGCGTTAGAAACCAGGTGTCTGACATTTCTAGTATATATCACACATATTAGGCATGTAACAACCTTTAAAGACATCATCATGTAAAGACTTATATAAAACAAAATCATTGAAATTTATACTGTCGTAAAAGGATAAGCTAATGTGATGGTGATATGCCCCCACTCCTTCACTAAAGGTAGATAAGCTTGTGTTGTGTTCTTTGTAATGTGCATATGTAGATGGCTAATTGACCGCATGTGATCAAGTATACAATTTTTAGATATGGGAATAACTTTTCTTTTGCATTTTCATTTGGATCTTATAGCATGTTTATTTGTCATCCATCGTGCGTCTTCACACAGGAAAAACAAAACTGTACTAGCTAATTCAGGCTATGGGAACCTGCTCCTGCCTTTACCTTCAACACAGTTGCAGTCATGTGAACTACGGTTTCCTATATTTTTACCTAGGAAACTGGTAGGCATCAAAAAAATCATATTATCTTTCTTATTCTTTCACGAGGTAGTACACTGTTGAAGATACTATGGGTCTGGGCAAATCTCAAAATTTCAATAACATACCAAGCTAAACAAGCCAATCCAAAAGGAAGGAGAGGTCTACAAAAATTATCCACACAAGCAGCAACCTAGTCCTGAACTCCATACTGTTTCCTTCTATTTGCCTTCTCCCACCTTCTTTCTCCTTCTCTACTCCCATGCATCTACTATTGTTCTTTTAGTCCTCTTTCCATCAGGCATCAGCATTGAAGATGGACATTGAATCAGTGAGGTGTGCGTGCTGTGGCCTGGAAGAGGATTGCACCCAGGAATACATAGAGAATGTCAAGGCAAACTTCGGAGGGAAATGGCTTTGTGGCTTATGCTCAGAGGCGGTAGGGGATGAGCTCAGTAAAGACAGAAGAGAACAGGATGGCATCGAAGATGCTATCAAAGCTCATATGGCATTCTGCAGGATGGCACTATCAAGCCCTGCAGTCAAGGTGGCGGATGGCATGAAGGAGATGCTCAGAAAGAGGTCAAAGGATAAGGTAAAGCCTGAAATACCATCAAAAGCACACCCATTCTTACTTGGTGACAATTGACAAGGTTCCAAAGCGAAGAACATCAGAATTATGCTTTTAGATAAGGGTGTGACTGATGTAAGATTTCTCTCAACCTACTCAACAGTTAATTTACTAGTATTACCTTTTATATTCCCTGGCAACATGTCAAGTGTAAATACAATTTGGTCATATGAATAAGTTTCAAGATCACAACATTTCAGCATGAAGATCTACAAACTTCGTTGACAAGAGATACTATGCTTTTGTGTGAACATGCAGGTTATCCTGTGTTCTTCTTCGCCACTCGAGAATATTTACTCAGAGGTTTGTTTCTCACCTAATTGATTTTGATGATCTATGATGAAAATTAATAATGACAAGTGATCACTTTTATTCCACCAACTAGAGACTAGTTATGGTTCAGTGTCTTACATTCTTAAAATCATTGAACAAATTGGCCTAAGATTGTCACTGTGCAACTATTCATGTACAAATACCCCAGGGAGAATCTATCAGCAACATGTACAAATAGAGTGAAGAAATATAAATAGAATTAGGTACTCTACCATTCCAGGTTTGTAATATTTGATTCGCAAGATCCGTGAATCTATGACATTTCTTATAATTTGTAATCACCCTTATGTAACAAGCTGAAGTTGTAACAACATATTTCATTAAGATGAAGACGCGATACAAGTAAAATACCACGCTATGAGAAACTTATGAAGAAATGAGCCTGGTAAAGGCATCAAAATATCACTTTCTACTGAAAGATAGCACGAGGCACCAATCAATGACAGATAAGTATTGGCAGGGAAATGCTTGATTGAAAGCTGAAGGTGTTCTACAGATAATTCACAATATGCACATTTCAAGTTCAAATTAATAAAAAACACATGACCCACAGCTAACAGGGTGCATGGACACTTCTTAGAAGTCAAAATCCTAATACTGTTAAAACAATCAACAAAAGAGTTGAAACATGCCTGTACTCCTGGCCTGCTTGTGCTGAGATCTTTCAAACTAGAACAATCCTTCTCCTGCATACAAAGGTTGTCATGATTAAATGGTAAATACTAAAATCTAAAACACTGGACATCTGCATGCAGATAATTGTGGAGACCAATCATAGTTGCATAATCACAACAAATACAAGTAATGCAAGATTCTCATAAATCAGAATATTAAGGTTTTCAGTGAACTTACTTAGCTCATCTAATGAAATGCTAGCAGCACTCTCGCCAGATTTAATCAGCCGAATCTTACCTGTACATATAAATATTTTTCCAAGGATAAGCTTTTACAACAACAAAGACAATCAAAATAAATAAGTACAAAAGAATAGCTATCAACATTACTCAAATGCAGTATAATTAAACAAAGCAGCAGGCTTCTGTGTCCAGTTTGGTAACAGAGTTATGGAGTTACCCCGAGAAAATTGTTCAAACTTCAAACGTTATTTATTCTTGCTATAAAATATTACTACCACAAAGTTTCTAGTGGAATGGCAGATCAACATACCATCGCGTCGAAGACAAATCTCTGGTATATTTTTCACTTGATCATTAATGCTGTCATTGTATACTCTGGTTTCAATATCACCCTCAACATAAACTGCAGAACTGAAATAAGGCAAGAACAAAGACAGCACCAACCACAGTAAAAAAGAATTTCAAGCCATAGAACTAGGAAATGGTATATAGTTGTATACTTGTATGGAGAAAAGAAAAAGGGTGATCTTCTCACTGAAACCACGTACTTCTTCACCAGCTTCTGGACAGCAAAAGCACCTAGCTGGTCATTATGAATGGCTATCCGATGCCACTGAGCTGGCTTTGGCAGATCTGCATCCCCTACTACCCTCTGGTCAAACATGCCACCAGTTCCAACTGTAAAAACAGTCACTGTACGACCATTCCTTAAAATTTTCTGCACAGGAACCTGTCCGACTTTTCCGCATATTATAGCCTAGAAAGTTGAAACAATCAATTAATACCAAGTTAAGCTTGAAAACCAAAACATGAAGTATCCTTTTCATATTATACTTAAATACCCTGTGAACACCACGGAATCCCCAGCCCTTCTTGGGGTCTACGCTTTGGGGTTCTAACTCTCGTCTTGAATCTGTATAATCATCATCACCTCCCATTTCACTCTTCTCATCAATATCAGAAAAGGAAACAGTAGAACTCCAAGCTTGAGATTTTCTGTAGAAATCTACACAGACAAATATTTAATCAAAACTTACTCAGTAAAAACTGAGTAGAAATCTTGAAACAACCATGAAAAACAACCCACCAATTGGTTTTCTCTGCTGTTCTAAGACCCTCCTCAAGCCCTTCAGTAATCCATTGCTGAGAGAATTCATGGTAAATCTACGCACATTGAGGAAAAACGTTAAATAATAAAATCATAAAAATAATCATCAGAACATATATTTTTTTCCTATTCCTTTAATGGATTTCAAAACAACATAAACATCACAGTCGTCAACTTCATTCAACATTTTCCTGGTAGCAGTTCTATTCTCAAAAGCATTTGTTCAGTGTGACCTTCTACAAGGAAAAAACTACATGAGGAAATAAGGTGCATCAGGATGGCCTATCACGTGGGAGACACTTATTCTTTATGATGAGGCATCCCAGGTTTGTCTCAACAGTGCAGAGGAGTTCCATGACAGTTCTGCTTATTCTTTCCTGCACAAAAACAACTTATGGTCTTATTCAGCTACAGCAGCTCCATTCCGTTGGAACCTCAGGGACGACATCCGGCCAAGACAAGGAAGCTGCTCTACCTGCCTAAGCGGCTGATCCGCCTAGCTAAGCTGCAGCGGCATTCTAGGATCGTAGTATCCAATAACCACCCTCTTCAGGAGGCTGAATTAACACCACCTAAAATCTAAATAGGCAATCACAGAAAAATTAACAGCCTACTGGACTAAACTTTGCATGGATAAAATATGCAAACGGTCCAAGATATTCTACCGAGACATTTTAACAAACACCTTGCAAGCATCGCACACTGGCCATTCAGGGGCTTCACGCGACGTCGACAACAGTTGCATACCCCATAGAACAGTGGCAGACCCAGCCCAAAATGGAAAACTGCAGCCATGGCAGAGTTGGAACAGTAGAACGAGCTCGGGAAAAGGACGTACCTTCAGCCCCGCGCCGGAGGCCTTCGCGCGTCGCCGAGTCGCGGGAGGGATAAGACGGCGGGACGACGACGACGGGCGCAGACCGAGCGAGCGGGGAGGCTATCCGTACGGATCGAGGGAGGATGGGAGGAGGCGGCTGGCGGCGTTGGGTGGTGTCCGGTGGAGTCGGCCGCGGCGGCGCTCGTGCCTGGGTGGAGCGGAGGAGCTTCGTAGCGAGATCAAAAGGTTGAGTTATTGTGAAAACTTTGGGCCGGGCCTGGATATTTCTGCTTCTCCTGGCGTAACGGGCCGAACCTGCACCAAAGTTAGTGGGTTGCTGCTATCCTTGAGAGTCGAGACTTCTGCTTCTCATCATGGTTCTGGGTTGAAACTTCAAACTTGAGAACCCCCTCCTCTTGTCTTGAAATAGGAAAAAAAATGATAAATGCAAAAGGTGAATTAGGTGGTGTTTGAATCTTCTGAAGATGAAGATAAAGATCGAGTGTTTTACGTAAAACGATGTGATAATAACGTGTGATTAATTGAATCTTAATTATTACAAACTTGAAAAAATGGATTAATCTTGTTGAAAGTTTTCATACAAAATACACAGTTTAACAGTTTTAAAAGATTGCCACAAGTATCCAAAATTTGATCCAACTCTTGTTGAGTAACGAAAGTAACAAATCTGACACTGAGTTAGAGATGGAAAACGTTAGGGTGCCAATCCAAAGAGTGGTGCATTGATCAATTCACTCTAGTAAATCAATCTTTTACGGTTGGTGTTAAGCCAAAGCACCATTTCATTACCACCGGGAATTAGTAGTCTCATGCTCGCGTTGGCAACTCAGTAACGAAAGCGCATATAGCCTAGTGGTTACAGTGACCTAAGTAGTACCCAAAGGTCCTAAGTTCAAATCTCCTATGGAGCGAATTTTAGATTGGGTTGTTTGCGGGGCTAAATTCCCTATCTCAATGGCCGTATATATCCGGTTGGATATGGAAACCGGGTAGAAAATACCCTTCTCTAAAAAAAAATTATTCTTCCCTGATAAGAGAGGCTAACACCTTGTCACGCGTTGGTAACATTGCTTAATTAATAAAACTATATGATTCAATTGATAAAGAAATACGGAAACACGGGGTATAAGAATATGAAGACATAATATTCTTGGTAATAAAAAAAACATCTTCAAAGAATCAGATAAATCCTGCATTTCAAATGATGAAATGAGACATAAAAACAGCATATAAACAACGAAAATTATGAATAGGACTATGCTCTACGCTGCGACTCCCACCAGGCACATTATTTTACCTGAACATAGATTCCAGATTTTTCTTTTCTATTCTTTTCTCTAATAAATGTATCAAACTATCCTTACAACTATTCGCCTATGCCTCTTAGCATTTAGCAGCAGAACGAATGTTACTGAAATATGAGATGTCTGCACAACTCAATGTTCGTGACTTCAGAGTCAACAGGTTGAGTATGTTGGTTATCCGAAAGCAGTTAAATGAACTAGCATATTCAAGAAGCATCAGTGTCCCCTGTAGATTTCTTGTACTCAGGCTTGAGCTCATGCGTTCCCTGGTTTGGTCCTCGTTTGTTGTAAAAACACAGATCATTCAGAATCTCCTTCAGGAATTGCTGCATAAAACGAAGCACAAACAATCACAAAGCAACCATTGAGAGTAATGAATAAAATATTTGTTGTTCATAGGAACACCACAAATAAAGTATCTTAACCAATGTTTTTTTCACTTAAAAATAGAGACGCCAAATAAATCAAGAATATACCTCTGGCTGGTCAGTTTCTTGCACCAGCGCCTTTAGTGCCCAATTGGGCTGTCTTTCAAAAAGCTTGAATATAATATTTTCCAGTTCCCTGCGATCCCTACGTATTCTTTTTGCATCAGATGGTTTGGTTGGTGTTTGCTTCTTCTTCTCCTGAAGAGCACAAAATTAAATGTGTTATGAGAAACTTTAACTGATGATGAGTAGTTCAAGATGAAGAGGCCGACCACATGATTGGCATTTGGCAACATGGTAAAGATAAAAAAAAAAGTAGAGGAAATCAAGTACTGAACTCATTTTATAAGCCATAATCAGAGAGAAATCAGAAAACATGTATGCAGATCCTTACTACCTAGATAGCACTCTATTAACTTGAAATAACATCCACCACAGAAATTAAACACCTAGAGTTATTAAGAATGTTGATCTATATCATTAATGATAACAGAAGAACAAAAAGGAAATCTCAATCTTCATTTCGGAAAATGAAAGCACCTTAGAACCAGAAGGTATGAGACCAACCATGCCAGGCAACGGTATCAGGCTCATTCTGTGATCCTCAATTACCTTCAAGTAGGGAACAAAACCACAAATCAGAATGCTTTAAAATTACGGTAATGTAAGATAGCCAATGAAGGACTGCAGTACTTCACCTGCACTTTTCTAGTTTTGATCATGGACTTTTGTGTCCTTTCACGGCATAACTTTCCATAGTTCACCAAATTATCACTGTGAGGCTTCATGTCAAATTTATGCTCGACTTTTCCTTCACATGAAAGTTTCCCTACAACACACAAAGGTCATTTTTGGGTGATAGTCAAAACTTAGATGCTATTGAAACTTGAAAGATCCCCAAAAATGTAAGTAGTAATAAAAAATCCATAAGAATCACTGGTAACCAGTAAGGGTAACTTTCTGACTGGGAACGCAGTAAACTGCCAGTGATAGCTCACCTCCAGTCAAGATTCTTGAAGGCTTACTACTTACTAATTAAATCAATCCGGACACCATTGACTTTGGCAAACAACATGATAGTATTTTTCCTATATATTGGAGTAACTTGGACAAAAGATGCACACACACGAAGGATTATGTGAAGGCCCCTTAGCACAAGTGCTAAATAGATGGCTACTAAACCACAAACAAGTTTAGGAAATACTGATCTTACAATAACCACCTAGTCACCCATGCTTCATAGTACAAAGCATGCACTCAAACTTGTAGGAAGCCCCAGACATAGGATCAATAAATGTCCAACAATAAGCACCTAGTCACCTACTCATTCCAGTCTGATTCATGCTTTATAGTACAAAAGCATGCACTTAAACTTGTGGGAAGCCCCAAACGTAGTATGTCTAAACTCATACAGGTAAAATCAAGTATGATTGTATGAACACAGACTTCTGACATACAGGAACGAGTAAAAACTATGTCTATCAGGATAGTAATATGTACAGAGAAAAAGAACGCAAGCAGTATAAGTTAACAAGCTGGGAATTGGACTCCTACCTTGGTTAGACTCAGAGAAAACACACATTGGTACAAAATCCTTGGACATATTCAAGGAGTAACTCTTTGGTGTATTGCCAGTGTTAGTTTGAGCCATCTCCATCTTGAACTGCCATGCCAATAGCACCATGTTATAATGAATGATGTAACTATAGGCACCACAAGCAAAAAGAAATGAGTGATGAAACTAACATAGAACGGGGAACAATTATCAAACAGAGCAGAGCAGTATGACGTATCCCGCTCTAATTAAACCTCTGCACTCTTCAATGCATCTGATTCTGTCTAGCAATTCGCAAATGGGAAATCAACTGAAATGTTACCCATCCAATCAATCGTATTATCACATTCGGCAGTCAAACCCTCCACCACTACATCTATGTTACGGTCGGTGCAGAATTTTGTCCCATTTTTCCCAAGCATAATGCATGAAATCTACATTTGAGGTTCATACATTACCAACCCCCACGGCCATAGGGTCATATCATTTTGCTCGAAGAGAATGTACTACCATTCGAATCCGCAAGGGAGAGGGAGTGGGCGGGGGAGGCTTGCCTGGAGGGAGGGCTCCTCGGAGCGGAGGAGGTCAAGGGAGAGGACGACCTTGGCGACGACGGGGTTAGGGTTGGAGCCGGCGGCGTCGGAGGAGGACACGGCGCCCTGCCAGGCGTGCGAGACGACCGGGGGGCACTTCATCAGCCACACGGAGCGCTCGGCCCGCGCCGTCTCGAGGTACTTGGCCTCCTCGCCCATCCCGCCGCCCCACGCTGGTGGCTCCGCGCTCGCAGTCTGCCCGGCGATTCCGGTGTCGGCGGCGGCGGCGGCGGCGCTAGGGCACGGAGCGGCGGGCGATCTGGCTTAACGACGGAGCGAGCGGGCGAAGGGGAGGCACACGCGGAGGGCGTGACGTGCAGTTAGATGAACGAACGATAATCCGGCCGGATCGGATCAAACGCTGTTTGCAGATGCACCGGGCTTTCAGGAATGAATCGGTTACCGACGAAAGTTGATAGAATTCGAATAAATTTTACTACAAATTGACTCAGATGTTGTTGTGAATATATTTAATTTGGTTTTTTAATCCTATCGATAGATGATACTTGTTCTGTTCCAAAATATACATATTTCTAGTGTTCAAAATTTATACCACAATATAAATATTTTTTAGCGTACTTCCTCATCTCAATGGATCACAAGTTCACAACCATCACTCCAGTCATTTTCTATACCATCTCTAGTTTAATTTCTATGCCTATTTCCTTCTACCGATCATGATAATTTTATATCTAATCTTAATCGGCTTAAATTTATAGAATTTGATTGTTTTTTTATGAAGCCGTGCTAGGAGCTAGTGCTTGCTATCTCATAATAGCTCCATGGATTTCATCGGAACTGTTTTATGTTTCTTGGGCTTTTTCGTTGCGGAATTAGACCTCCTATTAATGTTGGCTAATTGGCTTATTCATAAGTTACATCGGCCTGCCGCTTAGTCGAAAGCTATGCAACAAGTCTGCGATAGTTTAAAACTGGAATTGGCACAATACTGCGAAGTGGTCGTCTTCGCTTAATTTAGGTCAGACCTTGATGCTGCGACTCAGGCATTACTCAATAGATATGCAAGGCTTACAAAAGTGCCCAAACAACCACAATACGAACCGTTTCCAATTGAAAAACAAATTGTTAAATTGTTATGATTTATGCTACTGTAAACAGCTTATGTGATCAGATTTTATATTTTAGAACATAACTTATAATTTACTACCCCTTCGTCATAAAATAAGATCACTTTTGGATCCTCCTATTTATAAAAGAAAATTTTATAAAGCAACCATTGTATCAGAGTTTGTAAAAGTAAATGATAAATGTATTAGGAGTAGATAAAGAGAGAAATAATTACATTATATTTTAATGAAGTTAACGTATTCTAGTTTTTTTACTGGTACGTGCTAGATTGGTGAAAAATAAACGTTTGTTGGTATAGATGGAGCATTCAAATGCGGAAGCGAGGCTGCTATGTAGGCCACGTCTCACGTCTGTCAGGTTCGAAAGCAAATGCATATCTGTCACAAAACAAATCGTAATAGGCGCGCGTATATATATGCCTTCGGTTAACGGCCGCGACGGCCGTCGGCCCGCCTCCTCCACGGTCACCGGCTAGCCTGTGAGCTTCTACCGCCCGCGTCCGCATGAGAACGACAGGTGCTCGACACTTGGCCAGCAGCCAGCTCGCGTTAACACATGGCCGCGCCGCCCCCGCCGCCGGACACGGCCACCGATTCGATTCGAAGAAGGTACGACGTACTGCGACCCAAGCTAGATCGATCTCCTCTCGTTTTCTTCAATCTCCTTCATTTTATACTACTGCTTCGCCGATCAAATCTGTTGTTGTTTTTTAATCAAATCTGACCATAGTTGATTACTCCGTACTGATTAGTTGTCTTGTCCTGCTGTTTTACTTAGTGTACATGGTGACAGCGGAGGTAGGTTAACCGGAAAGCATTTTTTGATGCTGCGGCCTGCAATCAGTACTACTCCCTATTTCTGTATTCACTCGTTCATTGTACTTAATTTTTTTTATAATTAATATTCATATTATTATTAGATAATAAAACATAAATACTTTATGTTTAGCTCAAATAAAACAAACGATCAAATATTATAGACGAAAACGACTCTTAAAATCGGACGGAGACTACTCATCTCACAGTTGCGGGGACCAAAACTTGTTTAGAAAAAGAGGTGAACCATGACGCTCAGGCTGTCACGCTGAGCGCCCTGTGCCCCGAAGGTGGGACAGAGGCGGTGCCGAAATCTAGAACTCCGGAGCCCAGCACGAGGGGAAGCTCGTGGCAGTGTCCGCGCCACGTGGCAGGCGGCCGCTCATCCGTCGTGCTCAATTGTGCAAACCGTTCTCAATTTTCACCTGCAATTGTTTTTTTTTAAAAAAAAATCACCTGCAATTCCACATCATGCTGTCATTTGGCATGTTCCATTCCATCAAGTGTGATTAGACTAAGTTAATTTTGTTCCGTATGATTACAGTGACGGAATAGAATGATTCTACGAGAGAACCCGTACTAGTTTAGTTACGAGTTTATCCAACAAGTGTATTGCATCGACCGTTGTTTAGGTTATCTTCACAACCGTCGGCATCCAATCTTTATTCCTTACTTACTTGGATGATTTCGATCTTTACACTAGTTAATAATCGAATTAACAAGTCTCTAACTTGGCCACTGACCGCGGGCGGACGGCGAGCCCTAGCTACCACTAGCTGGTGGCCCCACACCACCGCCACCACCACCACGCGACGAAGACGAAGCCGTATAGGTGAAACGTGTGTGTATCACGGCGTCTCCCACCGAGAAAAGGCGACGCGATTGCAACCCCGCGCGAGATCGACCTCGCGTTCCACTCCCACTCCTCTCCACCTTCAAATCCACGCGAGTTGTTGAGCGAGAGAGAGAGAGAGAGAGAGAGAGATTTGATTTGCGTTTGCGTTTTGCGTCCATGGCGCAGCAGCAGAGGATGGTGATAGTGGGGGAGGAGCACTGCGGCGGCGGGGAGGACAGGGAGCTGACGGTGAGGAAGACGACGCTGTTCTGCCCCGGCGACGGGCTGGAGGCGTACGACCACGGGACGGGGACGCTGGCGTTCAGGGTGGAGACGTACGGGCGCGGCGGGGTGTGCGGCGGCGGCGCGGCGGCGGGGGACCTGGCGCTGCTCGGCCCCGAGGGGGAGCCCGTGCTCACCGTCCGGCGCCGCCGCCCCAGCCTGCACCACCGCTGGGACGGGTTCCTCGGGGACGGCGCCGCCTCGGGGCAGAAGCCGCTCTTCTCCGCCCGCCGCTCGTCCATCCTCGGCGTCGGCTCAGGCGCCGCCGCCGTCCTCGTCGACCTCCTCGCCCCCGGCGCCGCCGGCGAGTTCCGCGTCGACGGGTCCTTCCCGCGCCGCTGCTGCCGCGTGGTGGCCGTCAAGGCCGCTGCCCCCGCCGGCGGCGGCGGGGAGGAGGAGGAGGAGGAGGTGGTGGTGGCGGAGGTCCGGAGGAAGGTGGACGAGGACGCGCACGTGGTGATGGGGCGCGACGTGTTCGTGCTGTGGTTGCGCGCCGGGTTCGACGCCGCGTTCGCCATGGGGATCGTGCTCGTTCTCGACCGGATCACCGGCGACGAGCTCAACGGCGACCTGAGCGAGGACCTCGCCGTCGCCAGTTCGCCGGTGTAAAAGCTTTCGGTGATCGGATCAATGGGTTCATGCTTAGAGATGTGTAAAATATGTATCATCTTGCAAATTCTTTTTTGTATGTTTTCTTGTCGAAGTTTGAATATTTTGCCTTGTGAATTGAGCTTGTAGCTTTGAGCGAAATGCAAGTTACTCCTAATTACGTTAGCCTTTGACAGTAGTAATAACTATAGTTAATTATTTTGCTTGTTCTTTCATGCCTTTTGGATTATTTTTGTCTCTGAATAGTACTAGCAGTTTATAGTTTGGTGATCTAACTTAACTACGTTTAGAAAAAAGGTTTATTTTGGAGTCAACAAGGTGGAAACCAAGTGGTATCCATGTGTGGCAGCGAAGTGAAGCTGTCGTTTTCATACCAAGAAAATGGGGAGGTCTTTTTTTTTTTCGTGGGTAGTAATGTATAACTACTAATTCACATAATCGATTTAATATCCCTTTCACTTTCGGTGTGAATTTTCAAAACAATGACACTTTCAGAGCTGGATTTGCACAATGGAAACATCAACATACCCCAACAAATGGGCAAGCGAAACTTCTGACGTTGGGCTGCATGAAAGAGGAGAGTCACATCACTACTAGAAGAGTCTTAGATATGCATAATTGCACTCCAGATTGATTCCTATACAGATATATACTGGCACTGCCAGATGTTATCACAACTCTAACCCATATAGGATTATTATTACCTTATTAAAATCACAGCACATTTGGATAAGAAAAACATTATCTTCCCAGTTGCCATGCTCTTTAGGCCACTATGGCCCAGGACCCATGTACGGATGCATAACACCAAGTTAGTGAAGACACTTGTCAGGATGAAAAAGACATACCTTTCTCCACTTAACTGTAATACGACACATTGACAGACCATCATGAATGATGTATTTTTCTCATTTCTATATAAAAGAATAAGATCATGAGAAGCGTCAAAATTTCCACATCTCACAGGGTTTGCTGTTCGTGCATGTCTATCTTATGGCCCATCTGTTCAATCTCCAAACAGGAGAAAATACAAAAGGCACACATCTCAACTGTACAGCTTCCGAATGCTGGCACAAACATGCAAATGATTTCGGTGGCATGTTTGGAACACCCACTGGGTCTACTGATCTAGGGGTCTGCCAGAAGTCACAAGTTAGAACCACCGGCTTATGTCAGCACTAGTTGAAATGGAAAAAAGAAGGGTTTGTGTCCATCTTATGGCAAAGAATCAATTTGAGTGCCAAACTGCCAATTCTATGCTATGTGAATCCTCTGTATTCATAATCTATGAACCGCCACCACTGTTGATACCGAAGTAGATCGTCTTGCGACTGAAGGCATTCATAGCATAGTCGACTCGGATTTGACCAAGGTCTGTGTTAAAGTGGATTCCATATCCAAATCCAACACCAAATCCCGGTTTTCCTTGTCGAAGAGCTGGATTACCTGCCAATTTTACGATGAATGATCACTGCTGAACAGTAGTGTACAACAGAAAAGGAAAGATCCACACATTATCACAGAAGTAAACATATGTGGGGTGAGAACAAAGTTAAACGCAACTTGACATTAGGATATCAAGCATTCAAGACCCCACGTTTTCATGAATAGGGATGAGTGTACTCATTCGTAAGGTTGTTTAACTAATCTACTATGATTCTGATTCTATATCTGTGCTGTATAGTACAGTAACATCGGGAGCAATCAAATCATTTTTCTGTCGATGGTCTAATGTGTTAACCTTATTAGTTTACTCTCGTCAAGTTTCATTAAGATGGATTGGTCACAGTTACATCCTAACATCTCGGCTAAGAAATATTTCCATAAATTCCACTGGGGACATACATCATAATACAGTAGTAGGCTAGTAGCTGGCTGGTGGCTGTAAGCGAAATCCCTCATTTACTTTATGGATTATACAGTTCATTTATTGGACAAGGCTGTTTTAAGCACTAATTTAGTATATCAACCTCATTTTCTACTTAAGTAAAACAGAAATTAGTGCATAGGAAAACAGAGGGAGTGAAGCACTTACCAGGGACATGACAAGCAGATCCTAAGTCACTGCCGCAGTCCATGAAAATAGAACCCTCCAGATGCTTTGCCTTCACAGAAACAGATAGTTCAAATTTTTATGTTTAATCTGAATGTATAATATTACAACGCAAATAGCTAGAGTACTATGAATACTGGACACTTCGCACTAATCATCACAAAAATATAGGCACAATATGAAGCTGAATGATTTTTCAGTTGTGTAAGCTCCAAAGCACCTTCAGGGAAAATTTTAAGCAACAGCGCTAGCTTACACTGAATCGCCAGCAATGATCTCCATATCTACTAGAACCCTCAGATGACCATTATTTCCCTCTAGTAACAGCACTAGTTTCTTTTGGTTCGTGGCTCAGCTTGAATTTCATCTCTAACCAACCCTACCCAAAATTGCTTCAGAGTAAAGGTTGTTGGTGTCATCGTCGTTGTTGTGTTGCTGTAGTGTTTGGTTGCTATCTTAAATATTTTCTAAATGATCAATGTTACACCACTTTAAACATTAAGTAAAACCTCAGGCATCTATTCAATAAATTGCCTTCAATTATAAATTCCATGTTTGGGCTCAATTTCTCTATGGCATTCCAAGTTTTAGTTACGAGCTGAAATAGTGTTTCATACATACCAAAGGAACCGTATATTCACAGTTAGCAATTAGGCACAGTCTTCCTGCACCAACTGCACCCTCACCATAACCCCGTACGCTACCAAGTCCGCCTATTGCAAATGCTTGATATGGCGCCATGTCCCCCACAATGGAACCACCTGTCAAGCTGTGAGATAGGAAAAGATTAATTACTTCTGCTGAGGAGTTTGGCACTTTGCTGGAGAACAGTAGGTGCATGCATTACCTAGTAACCAAAAATGTTGGCCCCAATTTCATGCCTTTCGAAACTGCACATTTTACTCTGTTGAAGGTCAGAGATTTTGGTACAAGTGGCAATCCTTGTTCCATTTGGAGGTTAACCTGTCAATAAGATCTATATGATAAAGTAGATCTTACAGTAAATATGTTAAAATATAGTAAACACAAACATACTTTTAAGAAGCTATTATCATTAACATCTGCATAACCAGACTCTTGCTTCAAGATAATCATGTTATCATGGAGGTTACCACTGCATGATAAAGAAAACAACAGACAATTATAAGCACCTTTTGAGTATATTAAAGTTCTTGAATTGTAAAATACTTTAGCACCTGCATGTTAGAGGAAAGCCATCATGGTCCCTGGCTATGGAGCGTCCCTCGTTATTAACAGGCCGGATATGCTGGACAAAAAGGGCAACAGATATGATCAAATGAACTTGGAGAAAAGATAAAAAAAATATAAAAATAACTAAAGGCAAGCCAACAACTGGATTTGGGTAGATGTCCACCTCGAATTTAACACTGGTTCCGGATGTCCAGTTTGATGTTGATGGTTCATTAAGCTCAACACCAAGCGACAATCGACTAAGATTTATCCCTCTGCTCCCTGATCGTGTGAAGTTGTCAGCCGGAAAGCCATGCACCGCTATTTCCGGTGTCATTGTGTGCTGATTGCTCAAACCAGAGCAAGTAAGAACAAGTGTGAACAGAAGAATCAACTAATACAACCAAACAATATTTTATATGCAAAACATAAGTAACTCTTGTATGCAAAACATAAGTATCTCAGAAGTGCATCAACAATACATACTTACATAGGTTTCCTAGAAAAAAAATAAAATAGACTACTAGAGTATGAAACAGCAACTAGCATTCTCTATGGAGATAGAATTAGGTGTGACTTGTCCCTAAGGTTCTTCTCAATATCCTATCAGTGCCCAAGACCCACTCAACTTTCATGAAAGCTAAACATCCGCAACAAAAGTTATGTCACAAATTCAAGCTTCAGTCCATAGTATGAGCACATATAAAGATATTATGTTTACTGATTGCTCTGATATTATAGCAGATACTGACCATGTGATGCAACAGATCAGTATGAAGAATTATAACGCACTTGTGCTATGTCACTTGAGCATTTCTGTTCAATTCCAGACAAGAAATTTACACAGATACATTGAACAGAAAGCCAACCTGAATGACAAATGACTGTTGTGATAACCATTCAGGCCTTGGCCGTCTAAAGGCAATGACAGCATTGGATTCATTGATACCCTTATCCAATATGACATCTAACTTCTCGCTCCTCCCAAATAGGCTTGGATGTTTGAGTGATATCCTGTGGACACGAATTCTTAAAATCACAGTGCCAAATGCAAAAAGAAGTGGAAAGACATAAACAGCAATTCAGAGGCGCAGCACATGTGTGCGCCCATGGAAGGCCCAAAGATCAGGCAAAATTCAGGGGCGCTTGAGCACTGAGCAGCTATAGAAACACAACTATGCGAGAGCAAGCATGCAGAACATGTTTGACACAAACACGGACACACCAAGGCACAGGCACAAGCAGAGGAACACATGAATACAACCTGTCTGCGAGTGCGCAATGTCTGGTGCACGTATACAAAAATGAAATTTACCAACGAGATGCAAACCAACATGCTTACCTTCCGACGATTTGCGAGAAGGTGGCGCCAGAGTTCCTGAAAACAACCCAAGAACACAACACGCAAACACAAAGTCAAGTCAGACATCCAAGTGCCACCGAAACACCTCTAATAGGCAAAAGACCGAGCACCTCATGGGCGGCAGCAGGAGCGCCTCGCAGAGCATGTGGGTGAGGTCGACGTGCACATCCACCTTGGCTGCGGCATTTCCACAAACACGTTAGCCACACACACGCACACACACAGCAAGCAGAACATCCCAAACCAAGGAAGAAACAGGGAAAGTACACGGACCTTTCCCCGCATTGACGCTCTGCTGAGCTCCCATGGCTGCTGCGGACGGCGCGGGGAGGAGGTGCACCTCATGCGAGCTCGGCGCCACGGCGGGGGCAGGACGGATGGCGAGGAGGAGGGGGTGGCGTGGCGCGCGGGGGTGGGGGATTTTGAGCGGGAGGGAGGTCGGGGTGGGGGGACTCGGGTGCTTTGCGTGGAGCGGAGGGAGGTGGGGAGATCCGAGATGGCAGTGGGATTGCTTCGGTCGGGTTACTACCAGAGAGTTCAGAGCGGCGCCGACTTGGATGGAGTGGACAATGGACTTCGGCCTTCTTCTTGGGCTGTTTTCATCAAAAGCGAAGAATGCTTATGCTTTGGATTTTGGATTTTTCTTTTCGAGCAAGAGAATTCTCCTACGAAACTGATTTTAGGGTAAAATCTGTTTGAGTTTATGGTTTCGGTGATACCAACATTGTGACGTCATTACTGCGTTGCTGTTGCATACTCCCTCCGTCTAAAAAAATCTAATCATGGGGTTTGAACCGGGACACCATCCAAAAAAAAATCCAATCCTAGATTTGAACCTGAACATGTGTGTGTCTAAGTTCAAACTCAGGATTGGTTTTGTTTTTTTGGGACGGAGCGAGTATGATCATAAGTTTAAATTTTGTTTCCATATTTACTAGTACCGCTTTAGACGTAATCTTACCTACCAATAGGTTATTAATTACTCTCTCCGTCCCATATTGATTTTTTATAGAATGGAGGATATATGTGTCTATTTTTCTATTATATCTATGTTAAATAAATTGATGTGTTACATTGACATAGTACTATATTCCGTTGGCTTGGAGTGTTGCTTTTGGACCGGAAGACTTAAGTTTAATTCCTATTATCATTTGTGGGTGGTCAATTTTTATATTGCACGGTGTCTATAAAGACAATCTCACCTTAGTCCACAAATAATAAGAAGTTGGAGGAAGTACTAACCTTATTTAGCCATATAGAGTATTGTGAAGCAAACATCTAATAATGAATAGTTATACGTATTACACATGATCTTGCTTCGAACATGATGATATACCCGCAAGTATCATATCTAACACCACACAGATATTAGAAAAGCTTGCCTCTAACCCTGTTGTCGTCAAGCCCCTCCACCTTGCCTTGTGTCTCGTGCTTGCCGGCGAGAACTCAAAGATGATACTATCCTTCCTACTATGGTCGCTAGATTAGGAGGTGGGGTGTGCTTTTCTCATTTATTTAGGACGTGTCTGCTCCATGGACAACTAACTAGTTCACGCTTCTCGCGTGGGAAAGTGGTCTTCCGCAGATGAGCATAGACGACGCCACCAAGCGAGGCGGCTTTGTCATTGGCTAGATTCATGACAAGCGATCCGAAACCCTTCTTCATGTTCCTGTTCTAAATCCACCGCTTTCCTCACCCCCCTCGATGCTGGGGGACGGTGTTGTGGAGCAGGTGCATCCGATCGCTGCCATCATTGATCGTATTAGCGGATACGCTGATGAAAACGTCAACGTTAGCTGGTGCAACCTGATGGAAGGCTGCCTTGAGAACATTGTCGCTCTCGCCGAGGACACAACCAAACACAAACATGCGGAAGCTATGCAGACCCACATTGTCGACGGAGGGAGTACCATGCAGGGACGAGGGACATGTCGCGTAGCATTCCCGCTAATAATATATCATATTTATTACACTTTTTTACGTATCTTGCTTGTTTGCTAGAAGAAAACTTTCACACTTAACAAAACACAAAACTGTTTAGCATTAAATGGAAAAAACAAGTAAGCTTAAAAAAAACTTTCATTTCGATAACTTCAATTGGAAACTTGTATTTTTTATTAAGTACGCGCTTGATTGAACTACAAATGATGCAATAGTAGTAGCCAATCGGAGTCTAGATCCTACTAGCCGTAGCAACTCTGTCCCATATATACAACCGTGACGATAATAACTTATTTAAATTTTATATATAGGATTGAAACACAAATGTAACTTATTTAATCCTCTCGGCCAACTAAACTTTATCTGTAAAATCTATACTACTTATCTAAATCTGATGATGGATTTGACACTGTTCTTTTCAGTTTATTCACCAAATTATTGAAACGATTAGTTGCTTCACACTTTGAAAAATATGTTTTTCAGATAATTTTTTTCACGACATTGTTTAGATCACTTTTTTTTAAGCTACTTGTAAAATTTATACCTTAGAATGTTTGGTTTATTTATATAATTAAGTAGATAATCGTAACAACATTCCGATTCCGTTTGATAATATATAAACCAAACAGGTAAAACAGGAGATGTCATAACGCTTGAGTCGCAGATAGGTAACGCTTGTGTTCGGTATCTTGTCCAAATAGGATCCGACCGATTACACTCTCTTTGGGAAAACACTTGACCAAATCTTACCCACTACCGAACACAACCCTAGTGCACTAGCTATCCGCCTGGTTTTCGAGTTTCCAACGAGCCAGAAGGAAGCCCAATTTTTCCCAAAAGAAATCCACCCCCGATATCAAAATCCCTTCTCCCTCCCCTCTCGCCGCCCTCCTCCTCCTCCTCGTCGCCGTCCTCCTCCTCCTCCTCGATTCGAGGGGTGCCGCCGCCGCCGCAGCTCCAGCATCCGCGAGAGGCTCGCGTTGGGGATCGCCAATTTCCACGCCACGGTGGCCAATCCCCCGCGGCGCGCGCTGGTGGGCGATGCGATCGGATGAGGTGTTGGCGACGGCGGCGGCGCTGCGTGGTGGTGGAGAGGAGGAGGAGGAGGAGGGCGTCGAGCTTCCCCGCGGCGGGGTTTCGGCCACCGCGCCTAGGAGGAGGAGGAGGAGCCGGTGATGGCGCCCGCCGTTCAGCCGCCGCCGTCCCCGCCCCCGCCGCGGCGGCCCCGCTCGGGCCCTCCACCGGGGCTGAAGAATCTCGGCAACACCTGCTACCTCAACAGCGTGCTACAGTGCCTCGCGTCGACCCCTCCCCTCGCTACCTTCTGCCTCTCCTTCCGGCACTCCAATCTGTGTACGAAACCCTAGCTCATACTTTCTTCCTGTTCTAATTGATTGTATGTATTTGGGCGATTCGCCAGGAAGCTGATATGTTCGCCTGTTGGCATGCAGGCAAGAAGGTGTTGCCGAACAAGGACAAGGAGTGTGTGTTCTGTGTGGTGGAACGGCAGATCTCGCGGCTGCTTCGGACCGAAGCAGGGGCGCTAGACTCGCCAGCGAAGATCATACGCTGCCTGCCGCTCTTTGCCGAGCATTTCCGGTGGGGCCGCCAAGAGGATGCGCACGAGTTCCTGCGCTATATTATAGACGCTTGTCACACCGCTGGTCTGCGCATACGCAAGCGGCTACCTGCGTCAAACGCCAATGGGGACGCTGGCGAGGAGGAGGTCCGGGTGCAAGGGCCATATATGGTGATGAAGGAGACATTTGGCGGTGCGCTGCTCAGCCAAGTGAAGTGCCTCACCTGCAAGGGAGAGTCAAACAAGACCGACGAGATAATGGATATCAGCCTCGACCTGCCTGGAAGCAATTCTGTTGCTGATGCGCTTGCCCGTTTTTTTCAGCCTGAGATATTGGAGGGTTCAAACAAGTACAGCTGCGAAAGGTACATTTTATCCGCTAGTTAGTTGCTGATAAATTGTCAAGTGGTTCTAAGTCGCCTAGGCAGTACGGACGTGGGCATGGCAGCATGGTGTCTAGCTCCTTGTCACACTACGCAGCATGCTGGAGGCAGGATGGCACCTAGCTCCTAATCGGACTATGCAACCGCTTTCTTGTTATTACCACGTTAGACTGGATAGTGACACGTAGCGTGAGGGCAAACTAACTACTTTTTTAACTGTATTTTGGTATAGCTTAATTAGGGCTTGTTTTTGATGAGGGATCTAGATGGAAATATAATTATTCTAAGTCCAATAGTAATTTTTTTATTTAGTTTCTTGAAAAAAAAACACACTAATGTTTTGTTAAAAAATCTCAAGGTATTTTGTTAAGAAAAACAAGTGTATTCTGGATATTTTGTAAAAAAAGTTGTAGTGTTGAATGCCTAGGTTTTCGAATGAAATGTCCAAGTTTCAAAATCTGCTAGGAATGTTTTTGCTTTCCGCTTGATTGGACTGCTTAACCCCTGTGGAAAAGGTAAGCCAGTTACGTTTTCCTTATATTTCACTGGAATCAAGTTTTCTGTTCAAATTTCCTGGAAGATTTCTTATCAGGGAATGATTGATCTAGTGGTCGTGTGCTTGCTTAATCTTGCTGACAACGGCTTTAACATTTGGTACATTTACAAAAAAGAACCTGTGTTCCAAAGGAAATTGGAAAACCTTGCCCAATTTGGAGGTCCAATTGCCTTTCCTATATTGGCAGTGGTCCATCCAATAATTTATAAGAAAAATCAATATATTATATAAAAAGCAATCATTATACATTTTACAAAGTGCGCACTCACTTTTCACAAAGGGAAAAGTAGGTAATAGATAGCTAGCCTCTTTAACCTTGCTCGTTGAGGTATTTCCCGGACGGGGCAGTTTATGCTTATAAAGGAATGCAACCCTGCCAACCACACCTTTAGGGTCTTAGGGGATTAAAGTGAGCTCAATACGAGAACCTGTTAATATTAACTGTGCTATCAGTTTCCATTTATATTCTTTTCATGAAGCCACTATAATGCTTGCCCATTCATAGTTTTGAACTTGGGTTTCCGAAATTCTTCTTATGTGTTCCGGACATGCCCTAACTTGCGAAAGGCAATTTTTTTTTGTATCGCAGATGCAAGAAGCTCACCTCAGCACGGAAGCAATTGTTTGTCCTTAGGGCACCTAAGGTGCTCGTCATACAACTCAAGGTTATCAATCTTCATTCCTGATATTTTTATTCTATAGAACTTGTTATTGATTAAGATATGTTGCTGATGACCTCTGTTTACTTCCATTCTGGTTTGTTGCCACTAGAGATTTGAGGGAATAAATGGTGGGAAGATCAACAGGAACATAGAATTCAAAGAGACTCTCTTTCTTTCTGACTTCATGTATAATAAAAACCAGGTTCAGAATATCCTCTTGATTGTTACATTAGTATTTGTTGCTTGTTCTACATGTAGTTAATAATGTCAAACTAGTCGTGGAAACAAGTTATGTCAATCGTAGCAATCCATCAAGCAGTGACCACATGCTGGCTGTTTATGTAATTTTATTGTGCTACTTTTTTGCATTTATGCTACAGCATGAAGTCATAAATCTTTAAGGATCATTTTTTTTCTGCAATTATTGTTAGGTGAACTCTCCAAGAATGTTGTTTAGGATCAAGAAATTCTGGATTATATATGTCTTATAGTTATATTTTGTGGCGTTTATGTGGTATGACCCTACAAGAGCTTCATAAAGTTGCAAAGAAAAGTTCCATAGGGTCAAACTACATCTGGACTATGACACAGCATTTTAGGATTATTCTTCACTTGAAATCACTTTCATCCGCATTTTTCATTGTTTGTTTTTAACATTTCTGCTAATATTTCATACCAAGAATCAGATCAGTTTGTTTTAATTATATTGCTTTGCATGGATCTGCAGGATTCACTGCCAGTATATAATCTTTTTGGCAGTATTGTTCACTCAGGGTTCTCTCCAGATTCTGGTCACTACTATGCGTATGTTAAGGTAATAATAGGCTTTTCCCCAGTACTTAAAGTCTTCAATTATTTTGCCCTGACATCTAACTAAATGATTGTTGACTATGCTCAGGATGCTATTGGTCGCTGGTATTGTTGTAATGATTCCCATATCTCCCCCTCAAGCTCTCAGGATGTTCTATCTGAGAAGGTCTACATCCTATTCTATATTCTGAGTACCAAAACTCAAAAGCCTAGTACAAATGGTTACTCTTCTAGTGCAGCTAAATCTTCCAACAGCAATGGAAATGGCATATCAAATGCCACATCTAATGAGCCCCTGAAGATACCACTAGTAAAACAGAATGGACTATGTTCTAGTAAAGGTATTGCACCGCCACCCCTGAAGAATGGCAAGATTGCACCAGGTATGCACCTCAAGCCAATCCACTTGAAGAATAATGGAACGGGGAAAGTTTCTTCAAATGGCAAGGCAAGCATCATTCCGGGCAATAAGCTAGAAGTTAGTGAGGGTTTAACACTGCCAGCAGTGAATGGCCGTGACTCTGGAAAATATGCAGAACCCGGTAAAATGAATGCTAATGGTAGTGTTTCTTGCAATAAGACGGATGTTAATTCACAGAGAGTGTTGCCCAATACGAATGGAAATGGAAATCCAATTCACTTTTCTGATCTTCAAGAGACCATTGATGCTAAGGCTACATGTGCTGAGCAATATTCTGAAAAGTCATCTATTGCCAGTTTGGAGGATTCTAAAAATCCTGTTTCATGCCATGAAATGTCTGCAGTCATAGTAAAGGATGTGGTATCTTCGGGTAAGGACAGTTCTTCCTTGAAGCACCATCTTGAAGAAGGGAAGTTTAAGGAAATGTAAGTCTCTAATGGGCAGGAACTATTTTGCTTTTGTTATTTGTAGCTATTTCCATGAAGCACTGATTGTCCATTCTGCTTTATCTTTTCTCTAGCAGTTTCAGATGTTATACAACTTGCTGATTGTATGTCTGAAATTTTATGAAGTTATACTAACAATTTTCATGCTACAACTACAATTATTCACACATATTTAAAAAATGTTTACTGCAGTTTGTAGTGTATGTTGTAGAATCTTCACACATATTGTTCATTGGAGGAATATGTAATGGTTGCCTTTTTTTTTGTTTTTGAATTTGGAACATCTTTTTGTTGAACTTACTGTGCGTTTTATTATTTAATTAAAAACAGGCTTGCTGAATCGGCATCTTCTGAGCTTCACTTGTCTGGTTGGGTGGATGATGTCCGTAATTTCATGCACACTATAAAGAGACGCCGTCTACAAAATACAGGCACGCCTCAAGATAGTGACACAATGAGGTACTTTGATGTGACATTTTTGTGCAACTTTATTTTTTTTTCTTACAAGATTCTATAGGTGGATAAGCTCGTATGCCTTTATTCTTTGGTTGTTTTGCTAGTTATATCTTTTTGTCTGGAAATGTTTCCTTCATGTTCTGCATTATTGCCCCAATTCAACCTTGATCCATAACTATGCGTTGCTAGAATTTTGGTATTTCGTGGCTGCAGCATCAGTATTATAGTTTTAGTTACTGACAAAATACCCATGCTTTGCTATGGGTAAAAGAAAATATATATTATGTCAAAGACATGTTTGCTTATTTGAATACATGATATTCATTTGATTCAAATAAACATTAGACTATTGTATAATATCAGAAAATATAAGGGACTAATTTGAAAAAAGTACAAAAGTAGTGGTGCACTAGTGTCTTTTATAGTACTCTCTCCGTTTCGGAAGCCCCACACTGCCACACAAGTCATACGTCAAACATGATTCAATGGCTTCCATTTCTCTTCTGTGCTATTGCTTACATCATTCAATGGCTCTAATATTTGTATATTTCTCTCTTTTTTTGGCAATGCAGAAAGGAGCTGATAAGCGAATCTGGAAGAATATTTAGGTCAAAAATTCCAGAATCGCTGAGGGAGCATCTCATTCAAGCCCTGCGGTCATATTACCAGGACAAATTTTCACTGGGAGGATAAATTTTGTGCGGCGGTTCATTAGAAACTTAAGAAAATGTATCTGTATTTACCATTTTGTAGAATGGCAAATTGATGGTGGATGTATGTTCCATGTGGTATATGTTTGCTCTGGTAATTACCTGTTTGCCTTCTTTATTTATTTATTACTATATATTGCTCTGCATTGCTAACTTATCTTATGCTTGGCGGTTCAGGTTCAACGGAATCCTGTTGGTCAACTACCAGCTCCTTGTGCGGCTTATTTTTGAGGCATTTTTGTTATCCAAATGAGGTTGAGACGTAGAGTGGCCAAATTACATGTAAAATATTGTCTTCTTTTTGCTGTTGCTCCTGATTCTATAGGCTTAAACAACACCAACAACCCCCATTCCTTCCCTTCTGTCTAGAATGTAGAAATTGTTTTTTCCCTTCTGTACAATAATAGTTCGCAGATTAGCAGTGTATGGGGTTTTTGACCTTTACTGAAGGAAAAGCCCGTTTGTGGCTTCAGTACTGGGTTTGTTCTGAATTAGTGTCCATTGCATAGAATTGCTGGTAAAATCATCAGAATATAAATTATCCAAAAGCAACATGTCGTTTGGACAATTAGACTTAGGACTTGTTAGGTATCGCGCCAGGACAAGCATGAATGTTTGGTTAGCTAGGGGAAAAAATAGCTTAGCATAGCATCCAAACAGGCCTACATCTATTAGTTACCATGTTCACTGTGCTGATCATCCAATTGCCATTGCTTTGACTTTGCGTACAGCAGCACGGACATTTGAACATATTGCTGGTTGGTGCGTAATGGGATAAGAGAGCATCGAAAATGAAAAAAAAAAGAAAAGAAAAGGGAAGTAGAACAATAAAAAGGGGTGGTTCATGTTTGCTTGTCGCTGGCGTCTGAATTGTTCTTCGTGTCTGCATCATTTTCGAATCGGCGCGTGTAAGCTAAGAAAGCGGACTGAAAACCTTTAAAATCGGATATCCATCCCCGTTAATCATTGAATCCTGAAAACAAATGTTTTGCATGCATTGTACATCGAACTATCAATCGACAATCGTTCGCCATCCCACATAAATTGCATCTTGCCTGTTTCAAAGGTACAAAAAGACAAACGATCATCTTCAAGTCCTCGAAAACCTGATGCTAACATTTCCAAGATCAAAACGGTGTCACGAGCTCGAATTATTTCGGCAACTTGCTTTTGTATTGTTGGAAGTTGGCTGGCCAGCGTCTCCTACCGGAGCAAACGAGCCAAGGAGCGCGAGCGCGACGGCGAGCCGCTCGATCCCGCGCACCGACGGCTCGGATCCACCCTGCCGTCGCCGCCGCCGCCGGCCAACCACCGCGGGCATTATCCGGTATTCCGGTGCAGCGCGCACGTAGTACGCTACGTAGACGTGAGCTGGTTTGTCACCTGTCAACCTCGCGCTGAGACGAGCGGCAGCATCGCCAGCGAGCAGCATCATATCCTACCGAACGAACGCCCATCCACCACCACCGCGTTTCACCTTTCACGCCACCACCGCCGGTGAGCTGTGTGATGGGCCGTACTACTGCTGGTGTGTGTTGATTTGATGCTCTCACGAGCTCGTGGTGGACTGGTGGTGGTGTTTGTTTACACGCTCAAAGATTAAACAAATATTTGCCGATGGGTTTGTTGGTCAGTAGTGTGTAGACAAACAACGCAATTATCTATTTCGTCCGTTTTAAAATATTTATATCTAATATACGACGGGATACTATTTTAGTATAATAAATTTGAATAAAGAATATTCTAGCATTACTATGTGGTAATATTTTAGAACGGAGGTTGTACTCCTACTGCAATAAAAAAATAACATAACTCGAACACGAAGTCGTCACAAAGGACCTGCCTGCTTCCCGTCGGCACATCCCTGTTCCTGCTTCCGGCGTGAATCTGAACTTGTTTTTGTAAGAAGCTGTTGTGCTTAAATGGGGGTACATAGTCTAAGGGTTCCTTTAATCTGACAGGATGAACAAGATCATTTCAAGAAGAGCATGCAAAAGTTTTTATTCACTTAACAAAGGAGGATTTACAAATGCGAATTACAGTTCGGTTATCACGATGATCGGCCGTATCGATTGAGTTGGTCCAGATTTATAAACCGCCAGGTTCAAAACAAATTCAAACCAAAATTTTAACTTTTGGTAAAATTTATTTGAGTTCTACCCAATTTCGTCGATAACCCTAGCTTTAACTGCAGTAGTAAAGAAGTACTTACTGCACTTAGGCTGAGTTCGGCACTTCATTTCCCTAACTCACTTCTTTCGTTTTACTTATACAAAAGTTGCTTTAAAAATCATATTGATCTTTTTTTTAAAAAAATAGCTATACTTAATTAATCATGTGTTAAAAGACCGCTCTGTTTTTGCGTGCAGGGGATGGGTTCTCATCTTGCACTGCTGAACACAGCCTTACTTTGTCTACTAGAGTATTACTTCTATTTCAAAATATAAAAACTTAGAATCGGATTAAACACATATTATCTAAATTTGTTGTTTTAGAAACACTAAAATGTGTATTTTAGAGTGAAGTCGGTACTAGCCTCTGCCTTGCCTAGAGATTCCTGGCGGTCCTGGAGTAGGTACGGCGCCGTTAACATCCCATCAGCCATCACCAGGAGTCCAGGAAAAGGAGGCAATCAGCCGTCTCCTGTCTCCCCCGTCTCCGTGCGGGCACCGCACGGCATCTGCGGCATCTGCAGGCGCTGCACTGCAGCAGCAGCCACCCCCACCACATCCACCACCATTTCCCAAGGGAATCCCCACCCGAAAAGGCCGTGAAACCGGTCGTTTTCCCCGCACCCCCCACCTGCGCCTCCACCTGCGATGCCAAGCCGGCAGGCAGCGGCGCCCCCTCCCTCCTCGAGATGCCAAAGCACGCACGCACCTGCGCGCGCACACGAAAGCCCGCGGCCTCGCACGGCTCGGCTCGGCTCGGCTCTCCCGAAGGAAAGGAGAAAAGAAAGACGGGGAGAGAAAAAAACCGTGCGCTGCACTGCAGGCAGCATCAGTGCATCACCACCAACTGGCGTTCGCGTCCCCTCGCTTTATCCAATTTACAAATGGTCTTTATTAAACAAAACCGATGGTTTTCTTTTGACCCTTTTTGTCTTCATTAACACAGGAATCTCGCGTGTATTGTGACAGATATTTGTGTCATTATGTGCATTTCTTGAAATGTTTTTTTGGGGTATAATTTCACTAGTAGTATTTTAAATTGGTTTTTAGGCTAAAAAGTGAGTAGCATCTTTTGTCCCTGGATAATTTACTAGACCTTAATAGGAGTATTCAGTACGATTGGCATTAGTGAGGATTTCACAGTTTTTAAATAAAAAAGGAGAGAGGACTGACAATTTGCAGCTCGCACCGACACTGCATAGATAATTGGCGTCTTCAGAACTGACAAAACTGACTTTTGTTTTTAAAATTCTCTCTTCAAATTTGTTTGTAATTTGAGAAAATTTGAGGGATCATTCTGCATTTTGCCGAATAAAAGCGAGTCTGCAAGAGATTGCCAACCGTCCACCTCTCTCTCTCTCTCTCCCACGCCACGCCACGCCACGCTTCTCCTCCTCCAGATCCGGTTCGCCTCGCCGGCGATGGCCGAAGATCCGGCGGGGTCCCGCCGCTGGCGGTGCGACGCCGGCGACGAGCACGGCTGTTGGCTCTCCTCCTCCGCCGGCGGCGGCGGCGACGACCACTTCGACCGCCTCCCCGACCCGCTCCTGCTCGTCATCTTCAACCGCATCGGCGACGTCAAGGCGCTCGGCCGCTGCTCCCTCGTCTCCCGCCGCTTCCACGACCTCGTCCCCCTCGTCGACTCCGTGCTCGTCCGCGTCGACTGCGTCATCCCCGACGACCCCGCGTCCTCGTCGTCGTCGTCGTCCTCGCCGTCCGCCGCGCCATCCTCCCCTACGGCGTCCGCGCGCGCGCGCACCGTCTTCTCCCAGATCGCGCGCATCGTGCTCGGCGGCATCGTCAAGCCCATCCAGGCGCTCGGCCAGATACTCTCCCCCGCCAACTCCGCCTCCGTCCTCGCAGCATCCGTCACCTCCTCCCCCTCCTCCTCCTCCTCCTCGTCCTCCTCTTCGCCGCCGCTTCCCGGTGACGTGTCGCACCACTCGCCATCGGAGGTGCTCCGCTCCTTCAAGGAGCTACGCCGCCTGCGGATCGAGCTCCCCGCCGGCGAGCTCAGCATGGAAGAAGGCGTGCTGCTCAAGTGGAAGGCGGACTTCGGGTCCACGCTCGGCAGCTGCGTCATCCTCGGCGCCTCCTCCGCCGGCAAGGACGGCGGCGCGGGAGCAGCTCCCGCTGTTGACTGTGGCGAGTCCGACGAGACAGGGAGTATTCCGGAGTCGTTCTACACGAATGGGGGGCTGAAGCTGCGGGTGGTGTGGACAATCAGCTCGCTGATTGCTGCGTCTGCGCGGCATTACTTGCTGCAGCCGATCATTGCCGACCACACGACGCTGGAGAGCCTGGACCTGACAGACGCCGATGGGCAGGGAGTGCTCACCATGGACAAGTGGCAGCTGCAAGAACTGCGGGTGAAGCCGGTATCGGCATCTGGGGGCTCACACAGGACGCTGATGCCAGCGCTTAGCATGCGGCTGTGGTACGCGCCTCACATTGAGCTGCCCGGGGGTTTGGTGCTGAATGGAGCAACATTGGTAGCCATTAAACCAACCGAGGAGGCAACAAGGGACACGGTTGGGAGTGGGATTGCTGGGTCTGCAGGTGGATGCTGGGTTTCAGATGCCTTTGAGGAGCCGTATCGGACAGCCGTGGGGATGCTCCTGAAGCGGAGGACATATAGCCTTGAGATGAACTCGTTCTAAGCTGATGGCAATTTGGAAGTTCTATCCGTGAGGTAAATTCTGCACTGCATTCAATACTATGTTTGTCTAATTATCTTCAGCAATTGCTGTTTGCGATGCCATGCTTTGGCTTCTCACATTGTAGCATTTGCTTCAACAACATTGTTGCTTATTCGTGGAAAAATTAACACGCGCTCACCAGTATAAACTTGCATAGTAGTAAACAGCACGAGTCTTCGAATTTCTGAAATTTGGTTTATGAGGCTTGCCATGACTTCAGTTAGGTTGTCATAATCAAACAAAATAGCACAACCTTTCGCTAATTTGAATGCGAGGTTGTAAGGAGTTGGAGGAGATCTGTTGTTTTAGCTGACTCGTTATATCCTTGAGTCTTGTGGTTATTCCTACTAGTATATAGCAAGCTTCCCGTATCAGTTTACATGATCTGGATATGCATTTCTTGGCTGCCAAATTAATGGAACTTGATTCACATCATATCTTCCACTAACATCATGTGCTTTGAAAATACATCGTTTTCCACTTGACATCTAATCACGATTTTCTGTATCCAGCAGTAACAAATGAACAAAGCATCATTCATTTTTCTTGAAGAATACTCTGTAGCTGAAAGTATTCTTTTTTGCGGTAGGCACAATAACCTTCACTGAACTGCACTGAAATAAATAAAATCACTCATCAGTGGTGATGTACAAAACATATATCGAGTTTTATTTTATTTTTTGTCCATGTTGCTTATGAGAATTGTTCCTGTAAATTCTGAGAGTCTGGCAATCCACCAAGTTTACATCCAGAAACAAAGGGGCGTTGCATGAGCTACTGTCTTTCTTTGCAACTAGTAGAAGCAAAACAACCTAGATGACCAACCCTCTTTACTTACCTTAATGTATTGTTACAGGGTATGAATCACGCATACCAATATGTGCCACGGTCTGTAATCTTTTGTTGTTTTTTCTTACCATTCTTGTATAAGAACTGTAGTCATCAAGGACCATCCATTCCATTGCTAGTTTGAAATTATGCAATTAGGGAATAGAAAAGTACCAAAAAGGGTTAGGCTATTAAAAGGTGTGTATGGTTTTTATGGTGAGAATGGTGTTCCAACATTTATGATCTATGTACTGATCATTTGATTGTACATCACCACCACGGAATCGTGGATCACCCAGTATGGCCCCACATGATACATACTTTACTTCTAAATAACTAATTACTTAACCAGTTCTCATGGTGGAATCTTCTGCACCTCCTTGTATTGTTGGAGGGCGTGTCACATGCCACTTCCTTAACTCTTGAGATTCGTTTTAGCCGTAGATCTGCTGCACGAGAGAATAGAAAGAGGAAGGAAGATCCCACCTGGATGCAGGATCCACTTGTTTTTTTTAAAAAAAACTTTATAGATCATTTTGAAACCCTCTGAAATAGTCCCCTTTCATTTCGCAAATTGCAAAAAGGAAACAAAATCAGCAATTTTACTTAAGAAAATGTCCAATGCCTTGTTAACTCATGCATGTGCACTTGGATACTTGATGCAATAACAAAGATATTTGAAAAGCAGAGAACATATATTATGTTTGCATTATGCTTGTTGTGTTTTGCAAGATCAACAGTTCCACCATTCCACTGTATGTTTCCATGGTGTAGTAGTAAGCTTTAAGCAACCAATGGATTTGTTTTTGGCGTGTTGCTAACATCTTATATTTCTCTCCTTTTCAGGATGTTAATTTATTGCAAGTTGCAACTCAAAGTACTACGCGGCATAAGAAATGGAGTAGAAGTTCACTGGCTGCCTGTTTTACTCCGGCACACGCCCTACCCAGACATGCTGCAAGTTCTTATTTAACGCACTACTTGTCTTGAGCATCTGTCAGCAAGGACCTGAACGGAGGCTATACAACCGATGATGACGAGAAGCCGAACATGCATCCTAGTTTGTTGGAATTGCTGGGCTACTCAATGTTGAGCTTGTTGTTTGCCTCTTTGAGGAAGCCCGTACCTCTCCCAGACGTTGGTAGCACGGATAATTTGTGCCATGCCAAGCTGTTAAGTGCTAATCCTAATTTATCTTCCAGTACTCAGGAGTCCTGTACCGTACTTTTTGCAGAAAAAGTTTGTAGTAGTACATGCGAGGTTACTCTGTTTCTGTACATCAATATTCAAGGGCACAACTAGCAGAATCTTGTGTAATTGAGCACTGACGTACGTAGCATTATCAATTATGCAGTGAATCCAAGTGCTTACGCATGCATGTGTTTTTCGTCGCTGCATCAATATTGCTCTGCGTTTTCCTCATGCTGCTCGATGTATGTCGTCTCGCGATCTGCGAACAGTATTTTGGATTGGATGGTGTTGTTTGTCGCGCGTATCGGTGAGAAACTGAGTATAATGGAAAGCCAGATCGAGATCGGTGGCATCGCCAAGCGCAAGCGGTTGCCTCGCCTGGAGCCGGACGACGGTCGCCTCTGGTCGAGTGCCTCCCGTCCGACGCACGCGGGATATCCGTGAGCTAGCGCCGACGGACCACACTGCATATGCTTCGCGATCGATCACGGATTCGCAGGCGCGGAGGGAGCCACAGCCCACAGCCATGTGGCACGGGACAGCCTGAGCTGCCGGGGGAAGGATCATGAAGAGGACCTTGAATTCGTTCGTGGATGCTAACAATCTTGAACATTGCCAAAACTTATCTCCACTGCAAAATTTGGTAATTAATCTTCTAACATAAAGCTCGGCAAAAGTAACAAACAAAATACAACTTGTGCTTCTCGACCTTATCAAATATTGAGATTGCTCCCTGCAAAAAAAAAAAAAGGATTGGTAAAATTTGATATAACTATTTAAATTATATGGAAAAAACACTGAAACATCCACTCGAGAGTTTAGAACCATTTTCCGTTTATTATTGTGTCCTCCCGATGTATAGGAATGACAGATCTATCTTGTGTATCTATAATTGTCGATATATTACCTCTTTCGGGATCATGACAAATCACATATATCACATAACTATCTCGATGTCCCCGGTCCCGGATCGGTATAGTGACTGTAAGTTAATTAAGAGCTACTCACCGTTTGATCTAATTTAGACAGGACAGATCACACACAAAACCACTGTTTATGGTCCTATATTGCAAGAGTGCGTACCACCGTTTGATGTATAGCAAGCTGTAGCATGACACGAAACGTTGTTTACGTTACCGTTACTGTATCTAATTTAAACGGATCAACGGTTGGTATGGCCGTTTATACGTATACCATGAGCGATCCGTCACGTTTAGACAATGCATGCTCTATCACTCGCTTGCGAATACATAATTCCGTCATTAGCGATTAATCAGCCATTTTCTATTTGTCGGTCGTATAATAGACGTGTACGCTTGAAGCTCTTATATGAAGAGCGGACGGGAATCACAAACATCAGATTTCGATTAATAATCGTCCATATTTTGATAATTAAGTTGTTTGATGGTACGTACCCTCTCCGTTCGTCCGACATATCCGTATCTCTTTGATTGTTGAAAATCGGAATGTACAGACGAAATTGCTTTGCATTTCTCGAGCTGCAAATCACAACAGAGATCTGAATCGCGACGTCTCTTGTCCCTTGACCCAGTTAGGGCTGGATATCGAGCCAGCTCGGCTCGGCTCGGCTCGGCCTGGCGGCTCGTTATCCTAACGAGCTAAAAGTCTAGCTCGGCTCGGCTCGTTTGTAATCTCGAGTCCAGCTCGTTTGGCTCGCGAGCTTGCAGTCGAGGAGGCATCGAAGGCTCGCGAGATTAGATGATTTTTGCTAATTGAGTGCTCATGGGAAGAAACAAATCTTGGGAAGACCCCTCCAACCAAAATAAAACCAAAACCAACCAAAATCCATCTGCATTTAGCTCGACAAATTAATCGATGGGAAAAAGAAAAAGAAACGCAAAGCAAGTGATCCCCAAATCAAGCAAAGCAAGAGATCCCCAAATCAAACAAACTGGAGTAGAAAATTAAACATTTAACTCCCAACTTCCAGCTGCATGCAAATCAGTTCACTCATCAATGGAACAAATGGAGGCACTGGCCTCTCTGCACGATGATGGATGCAGGACGCAGGGGTTGCTTCACGTGGATTTGGCGATGGCTCCGCACGACGGCTGACGGTGCTTGGCGGCGGGGACTTGCGCGGCAGTAGGGACGAGGACTCCGCAGGACACGACGATGACGATGGTGGCTGCGGCCGCACCCGACGGGAGTGGGGGCTTCGCGCGCCAATGGCTCGGCGACGGCTTCGTGCTTCCCTCGATCGATGCTGTGCCTAAAGCTCAGGCAGCAGCCGAGCAGGACGGGCTGGACGGCCGACAATGCTGCCACAAGACGGGAGGAGTCAATTGAGTGGTTGCTATTGACCTACCACGGTGAAAGGATAAGGTTGACATTGGAAGGCTTTATCGTGGGTGCTGCATCGTGGGCCTTGACACACGCCTGGGCTCCTGGCCAGTGATGCCTGGCTCGTTTTGGCTCGCGAGCGGCTCGTGAGTTAGCTCGAGCTAGCTCGTTATGACTAACGAGCCGATACATGAGCTCGGCTCGTTAACAATTCCTAACAAGCCGAGCCGAGCTGAGACGAGCTAACCACGAGCCAAGCGAGCTAACGAGCCATGAGCTTTTCGTCCAACCCTAGATCCAGTACAGTGTCCTGAGGCATGAGGAGGCCCCAACGAATTATCTGCTTCGTTTGTTTGTTAATTATTAGGGGATGTTAACATGTTTAGTTGCTAGTCACATATTATCACGTCTAAGGTTAGACATATTTGATTATATTGACAGTTGTTGGTTATAGTCATAGTTGTGGTAAGATTTTTTTTTCTAATAAATTGGGTCCCATATGTCATTGATTTATGAAAGTGTGGCAAGATTCCCTTAGATTTGCTAAGGTGTGGCTAATAATTTGATCGTATTAACTTAAGCAAGTGTGGCAATATTTATTGATAAATAATGGTAAAGTATGGCTAGGAAGCAAATACACCGGGGCCCCTTTGAATTGTAGGAATAAAAAAACGAAGGAATAGGAAAAACATACGATTCTAATAGGGATGTAAGTGTAAAACAGAGGATTACAAAATACAGGAAAAACACAGGAATGATCGTTTGATTGGACTGCAGGAAAAACATAGAAATTGGATGAGAGAGATTGTCGGTGACATGAGGCCGGGAGTATCATGACTAGAGGCTTGAGGCAGACACAATCGCCCACGTGGCCTGGCACCCTCGGGGGGCGTCGGGCCCGAGGGTGATGTGTTCGCCCTCCTCTTTGTCTCCCCGAGGGGGTCGGACTGCTCCCGCCTCGGCCCCGAGGGCCGAGGCGCCCCGACCCCTTGTGGGTTTTGCGCCGCGTATATGGGGTAGGTGAGCATAGCGGGGCTCACCTAACCACATTTATTGCGGTTTGGACGAGCGCGTCACGCCGCATGTAACGCAGTGCAGCGCGCTCGTTTATCCGGTCTGTGACCAGTCACAAACCGGTCAGATCGTGGGTTAGGTGGCGACAGGCGATCTGACGCACGCCTCGCCCCATCCCGTCAGGACGAGGGCTTCTAGGCGCTCGTCCCCAGCTGGAGCTAGCGTGTTACCTCCCAGAGATGGCACGTTAGTCCTGGTCAGATATATGCCAGGCTTCATCCTAACCATTACAAGCAAGATATTGTATGAAGAAGAAGGGCGAACATGCAGATTGATAAACTGACGCGTGGTGGACAAGAATGACCGATTTGTGACCGGTCTGACACTGGTCATATCGTCAGCAGACAGTCATGTTCCCACGTCGCGCCTGCTTCCGGCGGAAGTGGAGGTAGGTATGGGCCGTCCCATCAGAAGGTCATTCAGACGGCAACCATACAAATCTCCGTCCATTTATGAAAAGATAGGATAAGTCCCCACACAAAAAAGAGAGATGGTGCATGTGGTATCCCCTTGAGATATAAAAGGAGGACCTTGCCCACTTAGAAAAGGGGAACGATCCGAGAACGATCGGGGACTGGACTTTTCCAGATTGGGAACCCAGAACAAGGGAGAGGTTGGCTCATACTTTGTAGCTCCTTCAGACACAGATCTCCCAAAACACAGGAGTAGGGTATTACGCTTCTCAGCGGCCCGAACCTGTATACATCGCCCGTGTCTTGTGTGTTTCCGGTCTCGCGAACCTTCCACATACAGAGAGCTTAGAATCTCACCCTGAGTCCCCGGCCGAACCGGCAAAGGGGGGCCTGCGCGGTCTCCCGGTGAGGAGCCCCACGCTCCGTCAGAGATGGACTCAAAGGATTTTTACCAAGAGGTTGGACCTCTTGCTAAGTTTCCTTCAAAACCTATATGCAATAAGCCATTCCATAAAAATTTTGTAGGATTTAGAAAACTTCAATCCTTTGAATCAAATGGCTACATAGGAAAATTTCCTATAGGATTTCAATCCTATGAAATTCCTTTATAATTCCTTTGATTCAAAGTGGCCATTACTACTAAGAGCATGCCCAACAATCACCCAATTGCCTTATTTTTGTTTCCGCCCATTGTTTATAAGCTCGTGCAAAACGTTTACGCTGATCATCAAATATTTTAGAGACGTACGGCCTCCAAAACAATGGAAAAGGTACCGACAGCATATATATATATCCGGCATATCATATCATCAAAAACTAATTTATAATTAATTGTCCGGTCAAACTCGCCTAACAAATACGATTTTTTTTTTTGAAAAAACAACTGGCATGTCCAGCTGTCCTCTCTAACCAAAGGTAATCCAATTTACTTGCCCAAGAGGAAATACACAGCGTAAGAACGGAGTGTTCGATACACAGTTCACAGCTCCCATGGACCGGAGCGACATCCCATCGTCGTCGTCGTCGTCATCGCGTGCGGCTGATCTGCGCCATGGTCGTCGCCGGCGGCGTGGTCCTTGGTACGAGCAGTGTCAGCGGCGGCGCCGGCGGTGGCCAAGACGGCGGCGGCCTGCCCCTGCACGACGCTCCACGCCTCCCGGACGTGGTGCTCCTCGGTGAGCGAGTTGCCGACGGCGCAGCGCAGCACGTACATGCCGCCCACCACGGCGGAGCTCATGTACGCGCGCCCCGTCGCGTTCACCGCCTCGAGGAGCCTCCTGTTGAGCTCGTTGCTGGCCGTGAGCTCGTCGCCGCCGACGAGCTGTGCGGCGGCGCCGCCGCCGCGCAGCCGGAAGCAGACCAGCGCGAACTGCCTCGGGACGGGCACCTCGAACCGCGCGTCGGCGCGCACCATGCGCTCGAGCGCGGCCGCCATGCGGACGTGGGAGCGCACGACGGCGCGCAAGCCGTCGACTCCGTGGCAGCGGAGGACGAGCCACAGCTTCAGCGCGCGGAACCGGCGGCTCAGCGCGACCTGCCAGTCCTTGTAGTCCACCGCGGCGTGGTGGTGGTGGTCGCCCCTCGCGGGCCTCGCCGCCGCGGCCGCGTCCTTGAGGATCACGTCGTCGTCGGTGCCGAGCGCGGCGACGAGCGCCGCCGGCCGCGCCACCCACAGCGCGCAGCAGTCCATGTTGGCGAGAAGCCACTTGTGCGGGTTCGTGCTGAACGAGTCCACGGCCTCGGCGCCGGCGATGGCGTGGCGGAACTCCGGGCACACGCACGCGGCGCCGGCGTACGCCGCGTCCACGTGCACCCACACGCCGCGCCCCTCCACGGCGGCGCACAGCTCGCGCAGAGGGTCCACCGCCGCCGTCGGCGTGGTCCCGACCGTCGCGCACAGGAACAGCGGGACCCTCCCCGCCGCTTCGTCCGCGGCCACGGCGGCCTGCAGCGCCGTCGCCGTGAGAACGAAGCCGCTCTCCCGGCACGTCGGTATCTCCCGGCAGTTACCACGGCGAATGCCGGCGATGCGCGCGGCCTTCTGGAACGAGAAGTGAGTCTGGTCGGAGCAGTAGACGACGAGGTCGCCGATCCTCTCCTCGCCGATCTCGGCGAGCTTCTCGTCCCTCGCGGCGACGATGGTGCAAAGCATGGCCTCGCATGACGTCCCCAGCAACGTCCCGCCGCCGCCTCCGGCGAACAGCAGCCTCTCCGGCAGGTGCAGCGCCTTGCCGAGCCAGTCAGTGACAACGACCTCCAGCTCGGTGGCCGCCGGCGAGGCTTCCCACGTGAAAGGGTTGACGTTGAGGCCGGCGGCGAGAGCCTCGCCGAGGGCGCCCACGTTGCTGGCCGTCGCCGAGAAGTGCGCGAAGTGACGTGGGCTCTGCCAGTGAGTGAGCCCCGGGAGCATGAGCTCGCGGACGTCGCGCAGCCCGGCGGTGAGCGCGTCGGGCTCCGGCGTCGACGGCGCCGTCGCCGGGAGCTTCCCGGCGAGGAAGCCTGGAGCGACGGCGGGGCGCACGGGGTAGTCGTTGATGCCGGCGTAGTAGTCCGCGATGAAGTCGACGACCTGCCGTCCCTGGCGCCGGAACTCGCCGGCGTCCAGCGGGCGGCGGCCGAGTAGTGGCGTAGTAGCAGCTACAGGGAAGGCGGCGTCGGAGTGATTCAAGATGGCCATGGATGGCAGACGCAGGAGCCAATCGAACGGAGAGGAGTTAATAGCTCTGGATTCGACTAATTAGTGGATTGTGTTCTTTGGATAATGGCTATTTATAAGCACAGATAGATTTTCCGGCTGGCAAAAAATGGTCTGCGGCAGTGCCGCACCGCGCGCGTCCCTCCGCGCGACATGAGAGGAGGCGGCGGACTGCGCGTTGGCTCCCGTTTTTTCCCTCTCTTTTTTTCTGTGTTTATTCCGTACCTTCTGTTTTCGTTTTTTTGTTTTTTTATTTTTTCGGTTTTAATACGTACGTATGCTAACTTTGTATATGTACAAATACAAACTTTATATACATGTATACAAAGTTTGTATACTCGTATGCTACGTGTATTTTTTGTGTTTTATACATATATATTACAAATTTTTTATACACGTATACAAAGTTTATATACACATATAAGTTTGTATATACGTGCATTTTGTGGGTTTTTATATGTACATATATCAATATTTTATACACGTATACAAAGTTTGTATACACATATATAAAGTTTATATATATATATATTTTAGGTTTTTTATACGTACACACATAAACTTTATATACATGTGTATATTTTTTTATATTAAAAGTGTGTACATATAAAAAATTATATGTATATATACACACATGTATATATATACTGCATATAAACCATATATGTATATACAAAATTTATACACATGTATATATATATATAGTATATACATACATGTGCTGTAGAGAAGAGAGACTAAGAGAGGAAAAAATGACAATCAGCGCCCCCCTGGTGCGAAATTGCTAGTTCGCGACGCGTGTCCCATCACATTGCTGCAGCCAAGCGTTTTCCTTGAGTTAAGCCGATGTCTTCCTCAGCTCGTTGGAACGGACGCCAAGCCACGGTTACCGACTGCACATGGAATTGAGCCGTTGTTTCATCAGAAGACAGAATAGATAAGGCTGATTTTATCTCTACTTTCCTAACCCACCTCCCTCGTTTTCACGCTCACGCTTTTCAGACGGCTAAATGATGTGTTTTTTCAAACAAATTTCTATATAAAAGTTACTTTAAAAAATCATATTAATCCTATCAAATTTATTTTTGCTAATACTTAATTAATTATAGGCTAAACGCTGTTTAGTTTTGCGTGTCAGAGAGTTCACTCCCGAACACAGCCTAAATATGCTGCTAACCAAGAACAGATGGATATATAGATTGTAAAACACATATGTATGTCTACAACCAGTGTAAGAAATTCTGGAATGAATTTTGGTCATTTCGGACTCTCGATACAATATTATTTCGTCCGATTTTTTTATTTTTTATTCTTTTGTGAATTTGGTAATATTCTATTTAAATTTGATCAACATTTGTTCAAAATTTTAGAAATTTCGGACCGAAATTTCGGTATATCAATGATGTCCGATAGAATCGGCCAAACGAAAAATTAAACCCTGTCTATAACACCATGTTCATAAGTCACAACAAACACCATATTATTGAAGCATGTAAATCCGTTTATATTGCAGAAGCAAAAAGAAAACCAAAACTCTTCGGGAGTAGTACAAGCTACAGGTTGCTATCTAAAGTCTCTTCTGCAATCAGCTTTCATGTACTCTGAACACCGGCTCCCAAATCCCAATCAGCTTTCAGCACAGCTGCTCGGCTCCAATTCTAAAATTGGTAGAATGTATATTTGTGGCTAAAAAGGGAAATTGAATGAAGAGTATAAGTTGGAATTTTCTTAGCACAAGAGCAATTATTCACAATATTTGCAACAATACTATTCTTGTGCCGAAGAGAAAATCAAGCCACAGAGATTAAATTGATGGCTAGATTAAAATGAGGAATTTGGATATTTGGATCAAGAATTAAAGGATGAGTTTAAGATCAAAGGATGGGCTAACAATTAATTCCAATGAGATTGGAATTACTTCGGTTTAGGTTCAAGGCAAAATTGGAGGATTTCTTGGTCCATAATTCATAATAGTAAAAATGGTTTTCAAACTAAATTTTGAATAAAAGAGCTTTAGTCGAAAGAAAGTTTAATATTCGAAACAGAATTCCAACAAGAAATACCAAATATGTTTTTAAATGAAAAATACAAAAGGGACTAAATACCAGAGAGGTTTTATGCAAGTTAGTTTTAGGAGGTCCTGCTAATTATATTTTCCTAGGTTTAGAAGGTTATTAAGAATATAAGAATCAGCATGGTGCAAGATTAGAAAATGACACATTTTCAGGATGTTACGTTGTTAATCATAGCAAAACTATGGTCAAGTGTCCTCAAATTATGGTCCTTTATATCTTCCATTGCTGATTTGCTTCGGACCTAGCTAAGGAAAAAAACAGGTGTTCACAGATGTTTGAATTCCTAGGAAAAAATCTCCTCTGCTTTTCCAATGTCCCAATTCTCCATTCCAAAATGGATGACAGTGACAAAACCTATATAGGGATTGAAATCCTCCAGTTTTCCCACAAATTTCGTACAAACCAAAGTGACCACAAACTCTAGATCTCCATATTCTTAATTCTGAATCTGTGATAAACCTCTGAAAGTGCTTGATATGCCTCTCAAAGGCTCACGGTCTCACCTACCCCCACCCACACCCGATAACAAACATCATCTTGGCCATCGCTTTCCGATCGGACGGCTCGGAACACACCAGGAGTCGCCCAGAGCCCCAGACTGATCCACCACCACCCGCGGCGTACGCTCCACGACACGAGCCCCAAGTTCGGCTGGTCGCCACGCCACCCATCTCCATCTTCGCCCACGCACCCGCACGGTCGCACGCACGCACGCGCCAATGTCGTGGCTCGCGCGCTCCATCGCGGCGACGCTCTCCTCGCCGCGCGGCGAGCCGGACCCCGACGCCGACGAGCCCGACCACGCCGGCGACAGGGCGTCCTCCCCGGAGGGTTCCTCCCCGCGTGACCCCGACTCCGACGAGGCCGAGCAGCCCGACACCCCGAGCCGCCGCGGCGTCAAGGACGACATCTCCGAGCTCACCGAGACCCTCACCCGCCGGCTCTGGGGCGTCGCCTCCTTCCTCGCGCCCCCGCCCCCGCCGGAGTCCTCCACCCCGCGCGGGGAGGAGGAGGAGGAGGGTAGGGATGGGGAAGAGGAGTCAGCGCAGTCGCCGCGGATCGCGGGGATCCGGAGCGATCTGGCGGAGATTGGGGGGAGGGTGAGGAGCGGCATCTCGATGCTGCAGAGCAACAAGGCGGTGGCGGAGATATCCAAGATCGCGTCCTCCCTCCTGCCATTTGGGCAGGGGGATGCGGACGAGGGGGAGCCCGTGGCTGGCGTCACTGAGGAGGTTGTGGTGTTCGTGCGGCACATCTCGACCAGGCCCGAGACTTGGCTCGATTTCCCACTGTTCATCAGTGAGCGCTATGCAGATGGTAAGTTTCACTGCCTTGGTGATGTCTCAGACTTACTTTGTGTAATTTGGTGCATTAGGGATGGAATGCTTGTACTTTCTGGTCTCAATTCGAGCGAATTTGGTTGTGATTTGTGGGAAGATAATTCATTGGAGTTGGGAAATCAGGAAACCCTTTGCTGTTAACTTATGATTTCTTAGGAGGGCTGTCATGTCAACTTGAGCAAAATTGCGTAACCGGTGATAAATATTCTCATCATTTCACTATATAAAACCAATAACAATTTGAAAGAGTAGATGCTGGACTTGGTGATGTCCACATGTTCTGTGGAAAATCGGGCAGGTTATACTGAATTGTGCTAGTACTTATGTTGGATTTGTGCATTATTGCTTGACTTGAGGAGACAATTATCAGGGCCCAGAGTTTTGTTTATGACTCATGTTTCCATTCCAAAGTTAACATTCTTAGTTGATTTTATGTTCCGTTATTTCGTGCACTGGTCTTCGAGACTGACTCAATAGTACTAGGAAGATATGAATTAATTATGGAAATTCAGAAGTAATACTAATTACAATGACAAGATGGCTTAGTTCCACACAGGAAATGAAACAGATTAAGATCATACTGGATTTTGAAATTTCATTATGTTTCTGTTGAATGCTACCAAGTTTATTATGGTGTATTAGTGCAAGCATATATTTTGCAAGTATAGCCTGTATGTACACTGGCTTCAAATCTCATCTTTCTTTTGGATAATGGCCGTCTGGTGGACTGCATATTTTTTATATACTTATTAAAGTTCTGTCAATGAATTCATTGTTCAAATCTATATAATGTCTCAAGAATATCATTTATTCATCAGAAGGTAGTACCGTGTTTAATAGCTTTAAACAGCAAACTTCTTGAATGCTTCGTGTCCTTTTCGAAAATCCAGCTTTCTTTGAGAATCAAAGCTGCAAAAGATAATAATCAACACTACTATTTTACATCTTGCAGTATAATACTATGTCATACTGTATGCTAACGTTATGATCTACTCCCTAACAAATGTGTTATTTTAATAGACTTTGAACTTTCGGATGCTCAGTATGTGCATGCATTATCCATGGAGCACCTTGTGCCAAGCCTGTCAGATATAAAAGCTGCCATTTGCTCTACTGATATGAGTGAAGCATGTTTCTGGAAGATATATTTTGTGCTTCTGCACTCGAAACTCAACAAGCAAGACGCTGAACTTCTTTCAACACCACAGGTAATTCCATTATCGTGCAATTAATATTTTTTTAACAAGTAATTTATCATGGAATCTGTTGTATTCCTTGAAATGCATGATGAGCTTCTTAAACCAAAATAAGAAGGGGAGGAAATTGAGCCATTCCAGCTTATATAGTAGTTTAGCACCACTATCTTAGTTACCACGAAATTCTTGATAACCACCCTACCCCTTCACATGTGAAATACCTTATTTGATGACTTGGTTAGCGCATACAGGTTGTGCCTAGAATGGGCTACCCTCAAGTACTGTTATGTGCAGTGGCGGTGTCGGTGGACTGAGACCTTGGGCCACCTATGCCATGGTCCAAGGCCTGGAACTGGCCCATTAATTTGTGCTCATTATCACCATGGATAGGCAAAGGCAGCCCAAAATAGTTGGCTGGCCTGGACTTGTACCATATCTAGTTCCACTACTCCACCCCTTATGTTTACACACAAATAAATTGAAGGGTGTACCAGGGTAGTATACCCAGTATCTCTAATCTAGATGCAGCTTTATTTTGACTAGCTGGGCGCATTGTCAGTTCTTGTGTTGTAACACAGTCAACTTCTTTCCTCGGTTTACATTTTCTGATGCCAAGGTTTTAGTCTGATTCCACTTCAAACATTCTCTTCCATTCAGATCCTACAAGCAAGGGAGGAATTGCTGCAAAGTTTACAGACTAAGAATAAGCGAGGATCTGAGGTTCCGGAGGAAGAGGAATCATCAAAAACTGTGATTATGTCCTCTGCCCCTGCTGAAGAGAAAGTGATACAACCTTCAAGCATTGAAAACAAAGCTGGAAAACCAGAGGTTTCATCGTTCGAAGAACCCAGTTCTGATATCTCGCCAGATGTCGAGGCTGAAAAGTTCCCCATTGCAATTACAGAGATGGAAATAGTAGACAAGTCGGTAATTGAAGAAGAGTTGTCAGTGAAAAATGAAACCAAGAGTTTAGCCATCGAGCCCAAAATTCATTCCGAGACTGATGAAGATGAAGTTGATGAATGGCCTGATGATGACGACGATGCAGAAGAGGTGGTTGGCACAGAAGGTAACAGAACTTCACTGGGACAGGAGGAAGATGTATCGTTCAGTGATCTGGAGGATGACGATGACGATGGCAATAAAGGGATAGCGAAGTAGCTAGGCGGGCTCAAGGTATGGTCCCAGACTCCCAGTGCAATCATCACTTTCCGACAGTCCCATAAGCACATGCTGGCTTCATTTCAGTAGCGGCAGATACGCATTAAGGGATCATTACTTTGTTATTATTAGGCCCATGAAGTGATGAACCCCCAAACTTGCTCAGTCTGGGATACCCTGCTTAGAGCCGTAATGATAGGGCAATGCCTCAGCTCGTGTTAATGCTGATGGCGACTACATCTGTATTATTGACCTCTCTGCCTGTACATAGAGCCCTCTGGGCGTGCTGTTATAACCCAAGGTACGTACTACAACCACTGTGTTTGATCTGAAGTTTCCTTGTCGCCGCTCTTTTCGTACGACAAGAGTCTACTGTTTGCTCACCGTACTTTGGATTATCATCATGCTTGAGATCCCAAATATCCGCTTCAATAATGCTAATCATCCACACGTGACCGCTGAGTGTTGATTGTTGAACAACCAATGGCGATTCATTTGGCCCAACCACTAGAGTAGAGCACTATTAGTATGCAGTAAAACTGGCAAGAGATGTTCAACGGCGAGGAAGGACGGTCAGGTCAGGTGATCGCTGCTGCCGCGTGAGGCTGTAGACGCTGTAGCTGCCTTGCTGTTGCCGGGTAGTATAATCTATCGCGGAGCCAGCCGACCGCGCCAACAGATTGGCAGACGGCACGGCCCCGTAGAGCAACGTAGTCACGGTCGCACACAGCAGCCAACCCAGTGGAGCAGCACAAAACCAACCGGATCACCGGGGAAATCCGCGCGTCTGCGGCGCCTCTCACGCACGCACAGCGCGAGGGAGGGGAGCATCTCAGCATCTGCCTAGCTTGGCGCGGCGGGGGCAGCGTGAGATGGAGCCCATGTGAGCCGCATCTGGGGACACGCATGGGCGCCGTACCTCGCGAGAGAGTCGCGCACGCACCAAAATCCGCACCTGACGCCGGGTGCCTGCGTGCGTCGCGCGGGCCGGCGCGCGGGGGCAGTCAAACGCGGCCAAAGCAGATTAAGGAACTGGACGAGGCGATCACATGGGGGAGGGGCAAATGGCAAAGGGCAACACACCATCCCATGCATGTTGCAGGCAGGCACCCGTTGCTTTCAAATTCAGCTCTCTCTTCTTCTCTTCTCCCGGATGCCAATACGTACGAGATCGCGGTGATAGCGCATGAAAAACAAGCGTAACGAGGGGGGAGGGAGGCTGATGGCACGTCGGTGTCACGGCGACATGCGACGACGACGACGAGAACTCGGCGAACGGAGGAGCAGCAGCAGCCTAGTAAGGGTGTCTGATTATGTCCTGGATCTCGGAGAGCGATGGACACAGGGTCTCTTTCCTCGCGAGAATCGGCGCCATGTGCCTTGTCTGCACGCGCCACCGGCGAGCATTTTCATATCCATTTTCCCTATCACATCTTCAGAATTTCTGGCCTGATATGCAGTGAAAGCTGTCTGGTTTTTTTATACTTTGGACCAGGAGAAGATGGAGGAGAAGAATCACTGCCTCAAAACTGAGTTCTGTGAGAAGCTTCTCAAGCAGATGTGCGTTCCATTGGGCAAGAAAACAATTGCTAGAGGTTGAAGGTAAATAATACAAGAGCCGTGCCATCAAACAGATGTACTTTTCAGTGGAGAGGAAATATTGAGTAGGTAGCTTCTGATATGAAAATAACAATTGGAAGGTTAGGAGAACATGCACCATCAGGCAACAGGCCAAACAAGGTTTACAGGTCACTTGTAGTATTTCCTATTTGCCTCCACATGGACTGTTGCAATTCAAGGAGCACACTTGGGCGTACTTGTCTTTTTCAATGATAGTAACAGAAATCAAAACAACCTGGCCTAGCCAATGCACATGACAAAGCCAAAGACAGCATGGAGCAAAGGCCCCTTAATGAGGGGCTCCATTTGGGAGTAAGGTAAAAGTTCTTTCAGAACATACTATTATCATTCATTCATTCACAAACAACAAACAGGAGGACAATAGAAGATGTTCTGAACAAGTGATTAATTCTATATACTGGATGAAAAAAAAGGACAATCTGACATGTATATGGATACCCAAGGTAATCGATCAAAGTACATGGTAGAAACATGTATTATCTTCATTTGAAGGTAAAGTTTGTTAAGAGAGAAGAAGAACCCATCTAGGCACAAAAGATTCTTACAAAAGAATTGCCTGAAGGAATAAAAGCATCCCACAGGCTTAATCCAAACTATATCTATCTACATCTCCACAGTTCAGTATATGTGATGAATCTTGACCCCTAGAATAGGGATCAAAGCTTCCATGTGTAAGCATCGAACATTTGCATCACTCTTCCCTTTACAAAGAGCCCTTTGATGCTTGCAAAGTGTTTTCTTTCAAACAAAAAAGAACCCCATTAAACTCTTCATCTTCTATCACTCCACTTGCTCACCAATTAGGTCGAGACCAACAACCAAGAATGAGACCCCTTGGAACAGAAGAAAGTAGAAATGGATTCCCTGAGCAGATAGCAAACTGCGAGCTGCTGCCGTTAACAAGAGGAAGGAAAGTGCCAGTTCCTTCCTGTAGATCCTATTGTGCTTCTTCTTCTTGGAGTCCTTTTTAGGATTCGACTCCTCCTTTGTTAGCGCGTCAAGATTGGGAGCAGATCCTACTCTTTGCTGCTTGGAGTGTTTCTCAACTAGCCCAACAAGATCGCCCTCCGAAGAACGACCTGATTTCTTGGTGACAACCCACTCATAGGCACTCCCGAGCTGGAACAATCCAGAAATCATGGCATTGAACTTGGTTACGGACATAGTGTTCTCGAAAAGAAGGTATGGGACAATGAATGGGAAAGATTTTGGGGCTGGGAGGATGTTCAGGATGGACATTGTAGCTGGAATGTAGCATACAACCCAGGCAGGGAGCTCAGCTTCAGGAACAAACATTGTCATGGGAAGGATGACACAGAAAAGTGTGAATGAATAGAAGGGTAGGATGAGCTTGCGGAGGAGGAAGAAAAGGAATATGAGGTTGAACTTCTTCCAGAACCCAATCTGCACAAGAAATTAGGCAGCGATATTAGGTTAATTATCCAATGAAACAGTATAAAAACTGTGGACTAATAGGTAGAAATCAAATATGAAGAAGGGATAAAAAAAACTTAATTAGTATATGTCCTGGTACGAGATTGTGATAAGTTCTTTGATGATTTCAATCAAGTGAACCGACAGAGAATTCTTATGGACATTGGTAACTTGCTTGAGTGGTTAGCAACTCATCATCTTGTTCAATTTTCTTATATTGTGCCTCAATATAAGATAATATGCATAAAGTTTGCCCAAACATGTAAAAAGGTACCATGGTTGATGCTTCTCAACAACTACTCCATCTTGTAAATTCTCATTAAACCCATAACATATTGGGAAAGTGACTCTAGCAAAGAAACTACAGTTACAGGCTATGCTAGTACATGCATTGCTGGAAATTTTAGCTTTCACAGTGCTACAGAAGAAAAGTATCGTACCTTAGATTTTATAATGTCCACAAAGCAGAGTCTGAACAATTGCATGGGACCTGAGTGCCACCTGTGTTGCTGCTTTCTGTACGCTTCATATGATTCTGGCAACTCACATTGACACTGCAAGGGAAATCACATGAATCAAATTATTAGTCTTTGACATTTATACAATGCAGATTCTGCTTAAGCCACGAAGAAATTATTGATTGTACCTCAACATCATTCAGGAAGACAAACTTCCATCCCTTAAGATGTGCTCGGACAGCAATATCCATGTCCTCCACTGTTGTTCTCTCCATCCAGCCCCCCGAATCCTCAAGCGCCTTAATTCTCCAAACTCCGGCAGTTCCATTGAATCCAAAGAAGTTGAGGAATGCACCATTCACCTGCTGCTCCACCTCAAAGTGGAAGCACAAATTTACGTTCTGTAGTCTAGTCAGCAGGTTCTCATCCTTGTTTACGAAAGACCATCTTGCCTGAACCAACCCAACGTCATCCTTCCCCTGGAATTCAACATTCAAGATGTCAGAAAATATAACTAATACGGTTCATAGTCATAGAAGCAAAGCAACAACGTGTTTACAACTGCCAGCATTGTTCAGTTGAGTCCAACCTTGAAATGTGGCACGGTTCGCTTCAGGAAATCGGCTTGTGGTTGGAAATCGGCATCAAATATGACAACAAACTCATAATCCTTCACATAACTGCAATTCATGGCTGATTTAAGGTTTCCAGCCTTGTAGCCATCCCGGATCACCCGGTGCCGGTATATGATGCGCACGCCCTCCCGCTGCCATTTCTCCACCTCCTCCTTGATCAGCGCAGAAGTGGTAGCATCATCAGAATCGTCCAACACCTGCACCAAGAAGTTTGACTTTGGCCAGTCCAGGTTGCAAACTGCCCCAATGGATTGCTGGTACACCTGCAAACATCCAGATGAAATGGAATCAATTGAATTGGCCTAGCCTCTCAGATAATTGAGCCTCAGATTTCCAAATTGTGCGTAGCACGCTCTAGTCTTAAAAGGAGTACGCTATGCTGCCCAGTTTGATGTTCAATTAGCATGTCTTCTGGTTGACGACAACATCCAGACAGAGAATCAGGGCAATAAGTATGCTTGAAAGGTACGACACCCAACGGCAAAATTCAACCTTAAAAACACCAAATTTTTGCTCTTGTTATAGTGTATTGAGCAAGCAAGATCACAGCAACTTAAAACTTCAGAAACCACCCAAGTTGTTGTTAATGCAGAACATCTCCGGGTCAAAGAGGAACACAGGTCAAAGATCCAAACCAATCTAATGCAGAGTCTACACAAAATCAGCAGAATCCTCCTGCTGAATTCGCGCAGAGGAGAACTAGAACTAAGGGATCGAATCCCAATTGCAGCTAAAATAATTCGAATATTTTGATCCAGGAAGATACAAATGTACATATAGCAAGAGAATGAACAGCCAATCTGAAATTCCAACTTAAGAGGGCAATGGAGCAAATGATTGGAGCTTTGCTTTGGGCTTACCTCTCTCTCGTTGCACATGGGCATCTGGACGAGCACCATGGGGTAGTCGCCGGCGCCAGCCTCGACGTCCGGCTTGCCGGCGGCGGCGGCCTGCGGCACGGGCTTGATGCCCTTGAACCTGATCCAGAAGCAGCCGAGGCAGAGGACGAGGCGGTCGATGCTCTGGACCATGAAGAGGGCGACGCAGGCGTTGGTGAGGAACTGGAGCGGCGGCGCGAGGTAGTCGAGGCGGAGGCGCATCCACCCGGCGTAGGAGGCGGCGAAGAGGCCGTCGACGGCGAGGAGCGACGCCACCTCCTCGAGGTGCCACCCCTGGAGGTAGGCGGCGACCTCGACGGCGAGCAGCAGCAGAGACAGGACGAGGGACACCCGGATGCAGCCGTAGGAGCGCGCCCGCAGCGCCGTGCTCTCCCCCGGCGCGGCGTCGGCGTCGGTCCGCCCGGACGCCACCCTGCGCCTCGCCGCGGACGCGACGGCGAGCGCGGCGGACGCGGCGCCCGTGAGCCGCCCCGCGGCGCGGTGCGCCTTGAGCAGCAGCACCCACGTGATCTGGCGCGCGTTCTTGCCGCGCCCGGCCTTGCCCGCCCCCGCCGGCGAACCCGGCGCCACCTCCGCCGCCTCCACCTCCGAGATTGACCAGTTCGGATTCTCCATCTTCACCACCACCGGCGTGCCACCCCCATTGCCGACTCCTCCTCCTCCACTCCTCCCCCACCACGACGGCGCCATTGCCAACACAACCTCTCACAACTCCAATCAACCAACCAACCAACCAATCGCTCCTCCTCCTCCGGCCTCACCTACTCATCAAGAACTCCTCAACCTTAATAAGCCAGCCGGCCACCCGCGGCAGCAGCAGAGCGCACAAGAACAGCTCACCACGTCGGTCTTAGTAGTACGGGAGAGCTCAGCTTCCTTCTCCCTCCTTTTATTTATTTTCGTCGTCTCCTCGCTACTCCCCCAATAAAAAAGCCTTCTTTTGGCTCTCCTCTCGGACGCACACACAACACAACCAACACAGCCAGAGTGACCAGCGGTTAATGCCTTTGTTATCCCGCCTTAAAATTTTTCATCAGGCTACATCGAGCGTTTAACACCTATATAAAATATTAAATATAAGTTAAAAAATAATTAATTGTACAAATTGTGACTAATTTACGAGATGAATCTTTTAAGTCTAATTGTTTCATGGTTTGACGATGTGTCGATATGGTGCTACAGTATAATTTTCTAATGATAGATTAATTAAATTTAATAAATTCACCTTGCAGTTTACTAGGATTCCGTAATTAGTTTTTTTATAAGTACCTAAACATTTTATACAATACCTGATGTAACACGCTAAAATTTTACATCCTCGTCTAAACACCCCCCTAGAAGCTGGCAAAACGGTGAAACACTCGCGAGCTGGACTCACGCACGGACGCTTCGCCGCTGCTTCTTTCCATCCCTGACGACGATGAAACCGCGTGTGTTTTCCCTTGACAACGAGATTAACGTTAGCCGAGCCGCGGTTTGCCGGTTTGGGTTTTGGTTGGTTGGGCTCGTGCGCGCGCGTGCCGCCGGATGGGCTCGCACGTCGTCTCGTCTCGTCTCGTCGCGTCCAATTCGTTGCGTGCGGTTGTGGCGGCTGCTGCAGCATGGCGCGCTGTCGGTGGCAGCCACGGCCACAGCTACAATTATCCCCCCTCCGGCTGCCGCCGCCGCCGCAGAAAAACGGCCGAACAGCAGGAGTTCCTCTCATTTCTTCTCGATATCTTCATCAGAAAAACGGCCATTGATGAGTATGAAGGATTAATTTCTTGCTGATTAAATGATGATTTTTTTTAAAAAAAAAAGGTGTTCGTGTCAGACGTGCATGAGCGGATCATGGAAGGGAAGAGGCGAGGAGAGGTGAGAAGGAATCAAATCAGGATTACAGATCTACACGATGCTTCAACTGGGCTCAAATGGAGACAAAAACATGGTTTGGTTCTACCAACAACATTGTCCATGAGAAACTAAACAAGAGGATCAACTTACTAACTACTACTTGTATCTCCATACTTCAGATCGAAAGAATCTGAGCATCCCGGGACAAAATTAGCATCCACTAACACACGCAACTTCAGATCATCAGATGAGCTAGCTAGCCTGTCATCTGTGGGACTAATAACTACGATTTCTGGACATCATCATCATCATCATCATCAATTGCATGCCCCAAACATCGACTCCTTTCTTTTCACTTCCTTTTGCATCAAACCACCTCAATTCAAACCTAACCCATCCATGATTTTCACACGAACACTAGCACAAGATTACATTTTCTTTTTCCAAGTCACAAGACAGCATCATATCTTGCACACATAAGTGGAGCTCATTTTGAGAGGGATTATTATTGGAGAGACAAAGCCATGGGCAGCCACATCTCGCAGCCAGCCAAGATCCTAAACGTGCATGAGCCCATCAGCACAGTGGCATCGGCCAACTATGCCGCCGTGGATATGCTCACGTTTAATTGTGGGTGCCTTGCTTGCTTGCTTGCTTCCCATGGCCAGCTAGACCATGGCTAGTAGCTGCAGTAGAAGTATTAACTAGGCATAGGGACACACACTGCTTCGTGAACTGTACAGCTTTGTGGGTTTGGTTGCCCTGCGGCTTCCATCGTTTTTATTCTTGCTTGCTCCATGGGAGTGAGGGAATCATTCCATCTGCAGGTTCTTGGCTCCCATTTTTTCTTTTTTTTCGCGGGGATGGCTCCCATTTTTTCGACTGACACAGACATACTCCATCCGTCCCAAAAAAGACAAACCCTGGTTTTCGTGTCCAACGTTTAACCGTCCGTCTTATTTGAAAAAATTAAAAAGATAAGTCACGCATAAAGTATTAATCATGTTTTATCATCTAACAACAATGAAAGTACTAACTATAAAAAAATTTCACATAAGACGGACAGTCAAACGTTGGCACGGGAACCCACGGTTTGTATTTTTTTTTTGGACGGAGGGAGTATAAGTATTCAGTGCAGCTTCCATGGATGGAAGTTGTTTAATTAAGCTAGCTACTCTCGATCTGTATGACTTGCATTGACTTTGCCATGGTAAAAAACCTGATCTTTTGTTGTGCTTAGCTCAATTGCTCAAACCAGTAGAAAGAGTAGTAGAAAATAATCTGGGAGAAGCAGTGGTGGTACTGTTTTTGTCGGCAGAACATTTTGGCTGGTGAAATGCCTATATCCTGTTGGAATTATGATTAAAGTTTGTAGCTTTGGATCGTAGTAGCTCCTGATCAAGTTGTGTTTTATTTGCACATCTCTTTCCTAGGAAGAGAGAGCTTAGCAATATGGAGTTTATGAGCTGATACTACAAGTGAACCGTCGGTGGGAAAAGACCAAGAAAATTTCCCTGTTGTCACCTTGAACTCTGAAGAGTTTCGGGATCTCGATGATTATAGTAGCCTCATCAGCATGAGAAATTTCTCGAAATTGGAAATTAGTATACAGCACTGTCAAACGAGAGATTCTCAGCAGAAGCGTGCATTAGAAACTTCCGTCGGTTCTAACTTCTGAATTATTGTCCCAAGAACAGGAAAAAATGTAGCCCTGTCATCAAACCCAATAAAATTCTCGTGTTAGTACAGTATGCTATAACTATCTAGAAAATATGAAGCATCATGTTGGTTGGGTAGACCATGTTACTTTGTTTACGTATCAGTACTATCTACGTATAAAAAACCGTATCTACACAGTTAAACTATTACTACAAACTTTAACAAAGTATTTTTTTTCTTCACCGATCATACCAAACTTACTGAGTACTGGGTAATTCGCCATAGAAAAACTCTTATGGCACATCAGTAGTAAAATGTAGCAATTGTCAAACGACAGTGTTCGCTGGAGTAGTTAGCAAAACGAAAAATAAATTGGCAACTACAACAGTTGAAAACTGTCGTACTTGGTTGATGCCATGTTTACCTCTGAACATGGGAGAAGCTAATCACAACCACCTAATCTGACTATTTTAGTCGCACGTCTTTGAGACAGATTCCCCGGATCATGCTTGCCTGGTGCCCAATTAGCTGCACACCGATGCGATTAATTTCCGCGACGGGATTAGCAAAATTAGGCCCTAAAAATTCGCACTTTGTGGCCGTTTCGAGACACGGCTGAAAGCTGAAGCTTAGTTGGCAGTTTGACTATACCTGAATGAAAATTGAAAAAAAGCCTTGTCAAACATCACATTAATCTAAGTAACTATCATTAGCTGTGGTCTACATCTCTAATAATCTCATAGTAGACTGCATTACCATGTCCAAACAATGAAAAAATGGAGGAGGTCAGAAGTGAAAAAGGAAAACCAGAAAGCATATATAGGAGGCTCACACTTGGCGTTGTCGGTGCTTAGTCAATTGGTCACCACCTGCACTGCAGGAAAAGGTCGTCTACCTAGGCCCGTTCTTCAAAACGAAAAAAAAAAGATTAACGTGGGCATATGCTTCATGAATCATGAGCTTGTAAACGATGTGATTTTCATAAAAACTTTTTGTAAATATTTTTCTAAAAAAGGCTTTAAATATACTTTTTAACTTTATAATAGTTAATTCATCTATTTGCACACTCAAATAACGACCACAAAATTATTGAGCTATTCAACCGTTTAGCAATTCAGAAAAAAAAATTGCAGGTACCACTACTACTAGTAATGGTAGTACTAAGATCATGCCTTGCACACAGCTGGAAGCCTGGAAGGAAGACAATGACGACTTCGACCACGAACTCTACTTTGTTTTGATTAATCCATCAGAAAGTACGAATTAAATTTGAAAATATACTGTTTATCCAAATTTTTTTCAGAAATATTCGAGATGAATTTTTTTTACAAATATAACATCGATCTCGCGCAACCGTTATGCGAAAATGACGTAGACATGACGTCACCAGCGGTATCGCACGATAAAAGCGCGAGACCGTGCAGTATCGCGCGGTATTGACACGAGATCGCGCGGTCTCACGGAAGCAAAGAGCGAGTCCGCTCGGTATCGCTGGTTGAAGCAGCGATACCGGCATGGCAGTCCCGGCCGTCAATGGTTAATTACCTAATTAACTATTAACTAATAATAATTATCTTAATTAACAATTAATTAATCACAAATCAAGATAATTAATTACTAATTAACTGGCATGTCAATGCGGTATCGCTCTTTCAATCAGTGAGACCGTTTGGTCTCGCTCTTTGGTTCCGCGAGACCGTGCGGTCGGCGCGAGAGACCGTGCGCTCTCGCGCTTTCACCGCGCGATACCGTTCGTGACATTACGTCCATGTCATTTTCGCGCAACGATTACGCGAAATCGACGGTATATTTCTATAAAATAATTTGCATCCCGACTATTCTTAAAAAAATTAGATAAACAATATATTTTTAAAATTTAATTCCAGAAAGTACTCGTAGGAGGAAGTTGTTCTTGGAGAAAGGTGAAAAAAGAGAGAGAGGAAGAGATGGTGTGTAAAAAGGGAAACGATTGAGGGGAGAACGAGAAGGTTGTTGAGACTGTCAGGGTTTCAGAAACCTTCCGTGATCGCAAAGTAAATGCAGGCAGCCACGCACGAGGGGCTCTGACTTTACAACCTTGGCAACCCTATCTCAAGAACGATCCATGGCGAATTGGCGATGGCGCAATCGAGAAGCAGCACATCGAGATCGAGTATAACGAGAGGGAGAGAGAGGTCCCCATCGTTTGATTTATTTCCTAATAAGTCAAAACGGCTTATTAGAAAATAAAAATGAATTTGTAGGTAAAACTTTTATAAATGTGTTCTTGGTAACTTAAAAACCAATATTGAAAAAAAATATGTTACAAATATCTCAAAATCAATCTTAAAATTAAGCTTGAAAATTTAATATTTGGCTTTTTCTTTGACTGATTAGGCTATCCGATGGGAGCAGAGAGACGATTTCAGAGGTGACCGAATCGGCTACTTCCGCGGAATCCTTGGGCCAAATCTGCTGCGCCCAAACTTGCGATGGGCCCATCTTGAATAGCTTGTGTTTGGTATGGGCCGTGTAGCATTAGGCCACTATCAGCCTATATGGGCTTCCAATTCAACAGGTAGAAATTAGTAGGGCCAGTTTTACCAAATAGAATTTTTTTTTGAGGGAATTTCATCAAATATCCAGCTCACCGAATTGCGCTATGTTAGCAAACCAATATTGTATAAGAGGTATCTCTAGCTTTCCAAAGATTTGGTAGTTTATACTCATAATATTCATCTCATCTCATAAAAGCTCTTTCGAAACGATGGGATTGTGAAAACAAAAGAATATGAAAAAACACATGATGTTAACATGAATGCATGCATAAAACGGATGATTGTAAACACATAAAAAAACAGGAATAAATAATCGTTACGATTAGACCGCCGAAAAAATACAAAAATCTTAGGAGAGATAAAGACCATCGTTGAATAAACTTCTGACAGCACCATCGTTGAATAAACTTCCAACAACAGCATTTGTGTATAAAAAAATGTATTTTTCTATACAGGTAAGGTGGATATGATGATGCAAATGAAATTGGAGCGATGAAAAGGGAAATATGGATTTGGTTCAGGTTCTCGAGATAGGCAATGACCTTACATCCTGTTTGGCTGGGGTGAAAATAGTAATCTAGCCTACACGACTATGTCGGCATAAAGTCATGGTGAGGTAGTTGGGATTAGCTGTTGGCTCATGTGGCTTGTATTGTCTCTCATTCTCCCCTTTTGAGAGGATTGTATTTATATCCAACTAGAAAATAGGCGTGCTAGTTGGCGCGCCGATTAATAAAGCCTGTGGTGGTATTGTTGGTCATGTTCGAGATACATAAATTGATCATTTTTTTTTCTTGAGAGATTTGAAGACTATACAAATGGAAGCAAAGAGACCATAAAAAAAGAAAATATTAGAATGAAATTCACCTCCAGAACACATAGTTATATAGTTATAGTACCCACTGGAAAACATTTAGTTAGACATATTCCACAAAGTCAAGTTGGAGTGAGTAGTGTAAGATAAGTCAATTGGTCACATGGATAGACGAATATATTTGAAGTTCATATACTTAAGAGCTAGGGAGATTGAATGTATGGGGTTATCTACATAAATAGTTAATTCTAAAATATATATGAAATGGAATATTTGTGATATTCCTATTTAAAAAAATATTATGGAAATGTATAATTCTCAACAATATATGTTATAAAGTGGCAACAAATCCTAAGTGATTACTACAGTTGGATCGCTCTTTCAAATAAAAAAAGCTTAGGGTCTTTAAGTAAATACCTCTATACGCAAGTTTTAAGTGGATCAACATATTAGGAGGGGGGGGGGAGGAGGGGTACATCCTTTTATAAAGTGGCAACACATCCTAAGTGATTTCTACTGGATCGATCTTCCAAATAAAGAAAAGCTTAGGGTCTTTAAGTATATACCTCTATATGCAAGTTTTAAGTGAATCGGCATATGAGGGATGGGGGGGGGGGTACATCCTTTTAATCCCATCTAATCGAAATGTTCTAGATGTTGTGTTGTTAAGGTATTACCTTTTCTTTTAAAAGCTGTTAAGGTACTACTTGCTTTTAGAATTATCACATAACATTGTAGTTTTCTATTTTTCTTGTTCTTATGTATTTTTTCTTTAGACAAAATCCAAGATTTATTTGATAAGACATGGGCGTCACGTGGCCCAATCAAAAGACGACGTAACCGCCGGCTTTAGATTAGTAGATATGGGCCTTTTGTCTAAGTATAACTCAAAAGTTAAGTTAGGATACAAATCCAAATAGCCCTAGTCATTCTGTCATAGAACTATGTTTTTCTTTTGCAGTTGGGGACTCATTTCTTCTTACTAGGTTAAGACTATCTTTATTTTGAGGTTTTGTTTCATAGGAATCAATATTCGGTATTCACATGTCTGCAGGGCATCTCAAATTTAGTAATTCCTTTCGTCTCAAATATAGCTACTTCACTGTACAAATTTAAACTATTTAGTAATCCCTCTGTCTCAAATATTGCTAACTTTATAGTAAAAAATTAAACTAAAAAGGTAGCCATACTTTAGGATAGAAAGACCAAAAGGAAATTATCCATGATATTGGATCTCATGCTAAAATTTCTCCAAAACTGACATGGATTGAGGCATTCCAAATGAATTTAATAGGATTCACTAACGTTCAAAACTTTGTTATAAGGGGCCATACAGGGGAAAAATTCTATGAGATTGGAATCCTAAAAAAAATCTTATTTCCTTTAAAGGAGCCATATAATGTATGCATCATGTGGTTTAGTGAGAAAGAAAGGAGCCATATAGTTTGACTGTAAATCGGAATAAGATCTGGAATAATGATCTACATATATGTTTAAACTAATTTGACATTTTGAGTGAGCACCCACTCCACTTTAACCAGAAGAATCTGGTCATTGATCTGGTCTCTGATTAGATGGGTTATAAAGCATGACACTGATAATTTGTATTAAATAAATAGTAAAATATACGATTGGAAACATCACGGACTCTTTACTGTCAGTTTTTTGTTTTCAAAATTTAAATATCAAAATTCGGAACGAATAAGTATGAAGCTGTAAGTTGCAACCTTCTTGAACTCTCACTTTAATATACTATTATTATTACCAATTTAATTTAAGAAATTGTAACTGCCGACCGGGGCGGACTCATTTTTAATCTTACGCCACCACATTTAAAAAATAACCAACACATTTAATACATACCATCAATAACACGGGTTACCGACATGCGTACAACGAGCCGTATTTTTTTTCCCTTGCATCATATACTCCGTATCAAATTATTTCGTTTACTATCTGATGCGTGACGATCATAAAGTTCTAAGCACTATATTAAACTAAATAAATCGAGCTATTAATAGTGCCTTGGCCTAGGGTGCAAGCTAAGTTTTTCTTTATTTTTTCCTTTTCTAGTTACGCCAATCGGTTATATTCCGTTACCTTTCCCTTCCCTTCTTTCCAGTAGTTTCCACCTTTCCCGCATCTTCCGCCGTGGGGAAGGGAGCAATCGGCAAGCCAATCCAATCCGGTTGCTTCTCCTCCAATCCAACCTCGTCGGCGGCGGCGGCGACCCGCGCCGCGCAGGTGAGGCCTCCTCGCGCTCCCCCTCCCGCTTCCGCCGCCGCCGCCGCTTGGGTTGCCCGTCGATCATGCGTCCCGCGGATTGGGGGCTCGGTTTTTTTGTATTTGATCTGGTTTGCGTGGAGATTAGGGGCGATGTACGGGGTGGATTTTTGGTTATGGGTTGGATTGGATGGGAGAGATCGTATTTCGTATCGATGCTCCGTTTGGCCTTAGGTTTTGTATTTAGTGGATGGCTCGAGTCCAAGCGTAGAAAAGAGAGAAAGAAGTGATTCGGAAGTTCTATGTTGTTGTTTCGATGTAGATGGAAAAGTGTATTGCGCATTTATTGTTTTGGGATTACTAGCAAAAGTTTCATGCTCATTTGTCTCTTGCTTGTAAATTTTGATGGAACAATAGAGAGAAGACACAGGGACCAGCTAAGCTGTGCATCCTTGTTGGTGATGGTTTTTTACAAATGATGAATAGCCGCCTATCAGCAAAATTCTTTCATTTTACAGTTGCTGCATTTGGAATTTGATTGAACAATTATCTCCTTTTGTTTTGGTCAAGTCATGGAACTGGTAGTGCCTTGCATTCTGAAAAGGGGCTCTAGATTACTGTACCTCATTTAAGATAATTTGGCAGCAGTACAATATTATCCTATATATATTGTGATATGTTCAATTAATACTGTAACACTTATATGTACAATATTATCCTATATATATTGTGACTGTTCATGCTTGTACATTGTTCAATTAATACTGTCACACTTATATGCATCTCTGTTTGTGTTCCTCATTAGGCTGTTGAGTTATCACGTATTTGATTATGGATCTGCCATTGATGGCTGCTAAAGCCTATAAGTACAAAGCAGAACTACTTGTTAAGGACTACCTGCTAGCAGATTCGTATGTTCCATACGCTTCTGTGCTTGGCGGAATTCTGATGTGCAAGTTGGTAATGTCACTTCTGACTCTCACTTTTCTGTTAATTATCATCATTCTACTGTGTACCTGTGCAATAACATGTTCATAGTTGTGCGTATGTGTATACTCAAAGAGAATGCCAACATCTATGCCATTGCTCTTTTGCATTGGAATGTAAGACCTTTTTTTTTCATTCACTGGTTTTATTTGTTCCATTAAAATCATGGTCAATGATGATGGCACATAATTAATATAGCATATTATTTCCAACATCCATTTCATAGTCCTTGTAATGGTTTTGTTATCTTGACTATTGTGTTCTTTTGCTAGCTCAGTCATATGATTTCACACGCTTTATCAGTTCATTCTACTTCAAAGGCTATGGTTCTCTCACAAAGATGCAAAAGGTTGAATGGAATAACAGGTCAGCAGCATTAACCAACTTAATTGCCAAGTTCCTACATCCCACTCTATTATTATAAGCTTCTGATGATACATCTTCTGACCCTTTGTTACTATAGGGGCATGTCCACCGTCCATGCAATATTCATTACACTTATGTCAGCATACTTAGTCTTCTTCTCGGGTTTATTCTCTGACCAGCAGGATGGACCAGTAACATTTAGAAGTTCGAGCCTCTCCAATTTCACGCTAGGGGTATACATATGCAATTACTTTATTGTCCTGTGACTTGTGATATTTCATTATACTTAGTTACTTGAATCTCATGTTTTGCTAGGTCTCAGTTGGGTATTTCATTGCGGACCTTGCCATGATACTATGGTTTTACCCTTCACTCGGTGGAATGGAGTATGTAAGTAAACATTTTTCATCTTATTTTTACCCTCTCTTCAGTTTCCCTCCTAACTGACTAACCTAGGTCCGTTGCCCTCCATTTGACTCCTGCAAACTGCATTATTTGTCATTAGCCATTACCAACTTACTCTTGGCTGTCTTTTGTCAGCTTGTCCACCATGTATTGTCACTTACTGCTGTAACGTATACTATGCTTTCTGGGGAAGGACAGTTATACACATACATGAGTCTCATCTCAGAGACTACTACACCTGGAATCAACCTAAGATGGTAACTGAGTATACAAATATGTTGCATAGAATTTTGTTTTGGTATCATCTTCAATCCATCAGTCCATCTAAACTGCTATTCTCTCCCCTTTGTGTTATCAAGGTTCCTTGATGTTGCTGGAATGAAAAGATCCAAAAGATACGTTGTTAATGGAGTTGCAATGTTTCTTACTTGGCTGGTAAGAATAAAGTTCTAAACTAGTTGTGTTGTGGCAGAATGTATTGTTCTGCACTGACTATAATTAAATGGGAATTATGTGATCTATGCATACATTTTCGTGAAAGCATTAGTCTTTAATTACATCTGAACTTTTCAACTGTAATATTGTTTTATTTAAATTTTTGTGATTTCGAATTTCTGCTAGCCTTGGAAGCAGTTGTCTTGCTAGTTCGGATTTGTACATATGTTCAAACAAATGCTTGTTTTCCAGTGAGGATAATATTGGCACATAGGTTTATTGGCTACCAAGTGAGATATATTGAATTATTCTAAGGGAAAATGATCCTTCCTAACTATGGGAGTTTTAAGACTAAACTACCAAAGTTGTATTTGAACACTCAGGTTTACTTAAATCTGTCGCTAAATCGATAATATGGTTTTTTACTATATTTTGGAGCTTCAAGTACCTTGGTCTGCTAACAATGAAAGAAACTCCTTTGTGCAGGTTGCAAGGATAATTTTGTTCATGTACTTGTTTTATCAGATCTTTTTACATTATGATCAGGTACATGGTAATTCTTCTGGATTCAATGTACATGATGGCTATCAAACACATATTTCTGACTTGATACTTGTTCGCATACAGATTAAGCAGATGGAGACCTTTGGTTATCTTCTGGTTTGTGTTGTGCCTGCCATACTGTTCGTGATGAATATGATATGGTTTTCCAAGATCTTAAGGGGCCTCAAGAAGACACTGGCCAAGAGGCATTGAGTGGGGCAAGGGGTATGCATGTACAGCCACGACAAACCACCTATCTGTAAATTCACTCAGCAGGCCAGCAGCCTATAGCTTCTCATTAGTCACGATGGCTAATCCTGGTAATATCAGCTTGGCCATTAAGATCCAGATTTATGATTGAATGCCCAGCTTTTTATGCATGGATGATATATTAATTTGTATATATGTTCCGCTATGGCTGTATGTTCTTAATACCCATCTTCTTTTTCTCGGTATAAATGATTATATCTTAGTTTTAACTTAAACAACTATTTGCCCCAATTTCAGTCACATTGTCAACACATTGCTGTAATTTGCCATCAGCTTTGGCCATCATTCCCAAGAATAGTTTGATCATCAACTTTTAGTCTCCCTGGACTAAACTGCCTTTCTTTAGATCTGGCTTCACAATGATGCCCGAGTTTTTAAAACATGTATAGGCTGAAGAATTTTGGAATTTGGAATTTGGAATCAAGAAAGTTTTCAAAAGGTTATCTTTTGTAGACATGTTCCATATAACTCTTTATATTCTACTGATCCTATGTGGGTTCCAACAAGGAAAGCAAAAAGTAAGAGATGGAGCCTGAAATATAACACAATTTCTAGTACAATCAACAAAACCAAGTGCCTGTAGGATTAACATTCCTTCAATTAACTAACTCAAACAGATGAACAAAAAGGGTGCAGGTGTCACAAGTAAATCAAATGATCCCATGAGATACCAGCTAATGAGATGCTGGGGAAGTGCTCCTTGCAATTCAACTTCCATCATGTGGGATATGTAGGACATACAAACTGCCAGAAACATTGAAGCAGTTAAATAGCTCCATTTTAATTAGTATCACAATATGAGTACATTAGCTTATGCACCTCCCATAGTCCCTTCCCCTTTTATTTGGCACCTTCACCATGATAATAATATTTCATTATCTGCACCATTAAGTGCCTTCCATCAGATAGCATATAGCTCAAGCAAGTTTCCAACTAAGAATGCCTTTAAATTTATTTTCTTGAGTACAGCTTTCTAAAGCTTATATAAGTAGTCCTAATTCTCCTCTTCCTGATCTATCACACACAATATGCATTCTTTCATTCACTTGTCCATTCTTCTTTGCCTCCTATCCACAACCCTCATTTCCTATGCAAAAGATAGCAAAGCCCATAGCAGTGTGGTCCTTGGCCTTAGCCATGTTAGGTCTCTATCTGCTCCATCCATGGTGATAATAAACTCCACAAGATTTGACTTCTTGGACATCATAGAACCAGTAACAACATATACAGATGGCTACCTTCTTTCCCTAAACCTGGGCATGCCCCCACAGGTTTTTCAGGTGTACTTGGACACAGGGAGTGACCTCACTTGGGTTCCTTGTGGCACCAACTCCAGCTACCAGTGTTTGGAGTGTGGCAATGAGCATAGCACCTCCAAGCCAATTCCATCCTTCTCCCCATCTCAGTCCTCTTCAAACATGAAGGAACTATGCGGCAGCCGCTTCTGTGTCGACATCCATAGCTCCGATAACTCCCATGACCCCTGCGCTGCAGTGGGTTGCGCCATTCCTTCCTTCATGAGTGATCTATGCACTAGACCCTGCCCTCCTTTCTCCTACACCTATGGTGGTGGAGCACTGGTCCTTGGCTCCCTTGCAAAGGACATTGTAACACTCCATGGAAGCATATTTGGCATTGCCATCCTCTTGGATGTCCCTGGCTTCTGCTTTGGCTGTGTTGGTAGCTCCATAAGGGAGCCTATTGGCATTGCAGGGTTTGGCAAGGGCATACTCTCCCTGCCATCCCAGCTAGGGTTTCTTGACAAAGGATTCTCTCATTGCTTCCTAGGATTCCGGTTCGCGAGGAACCCGAACTTCACCAGCTCGTTGATCATGGGTGACCTCGCGCTGTCTGCGAAGGACGACTTCCTCTTCACCCCAATGCTGAAGAGCATCACTAACCCAAACTTCTACTACATTGGGCTAGAGGGTGTCAGCATTGGAGATGGTGCCGCCATTGCTGCTCCTCCCAGCTTGAGCAGCATCGATTCCGAAGGCAATGGCGGGATGATCGTCGACACTGGGACGACATACACTCACCTCCCTGATCCATTCTACACCGCAATCCTATCATCCCTTGCCTCTGTCATACTCTATGAAAGATCTTACGACCTCGAGATGAGGACGGGGTTTGATCTCTGCTTCAAGATCCCTTGCACACACACCCCATGCACACAGGATGAGCTGCCTCTGATAAACTTTCACTTCCTCGGCGATGTGAAGCTCACGCTGCCTAAGGACAGCTGCTACTACGCGGTCACCGCGCCCAAGAACTCGGTGGTGGTGAAGTGCTTGCTGTTCCAGAGGATGGACAACGATGACGACGACGACGATGTTGGTGGCGCGAATAATGGGCCAGGAGCAGTTCTTGGAAGCTTCCAGATGCAGAATGTTGAGGTCGTCTACGATATGGAGGCAGGGAGGATTGGGTTTCAGCCCAAGGATTGTGCCCTTCACTCCTAGTGACGACGTCGTTGGAGAAATCTATTCGTGATACTTTTCATTCTATCCCTTTAGCGCACGATCGAACGGGGTTTCAGGTGTTCTTGGCCATTTTTATTTCAGTCGAGCTGCTTTGTGTGTGTTAATGGTACGAGTGGCCGTACGAAGTCACTAGCAAAGAGAAATTGTTAGTGGGGAGTTGATGACGAGAAAGCAAAGGGATCACACTCATGTAATGCGAAACTGCCACTTCTGTTTTAAGTTCAAAATAAAGGCGTGCTTTATGTGTTGGAATAACGGTCGAGCTAGTGTGTACATCACAGTTGTTTCAGAAGTGTATATGCTTTCGACGTTTGATGATAGACGGCTCAATGTGCAACTGATAATCAATATTTTCTCCCTTAGCTTCCGGTACGTGATGATTCGTGTGCATCTGAATATCATCACACCTTGTGTTTGTGATCATCTGGTTGTATCAGACGGCTTACGGAAGATATGTTCTGCTGTTGGATTGGGTTGGGGTCTTGGGGAATGGATGCTGAGTGCCACTCTGTGTTTGTTTCACTATCCTAATGTGTTCCGTTTAGTTCTCTGTCTTCCACGTGACGATCAATGTTTTTCTCCCTTAGCTTTTGTTCGGTGATTCGTGTGTATGTCAAGTATACGCCTATCCCGGTGTGAACTTTGGCTTTCAAAACCCTGTGTCTCAACGAACACCAGCAAGTCGTTGTAGTATAGTGGTGAGTATTCCCGCCTGTCACGCGGGTGACCCGGGTTCGATCCCCGGCAACGGCGAACTGTTTTTTTTTTAGCCTCCGTGCAGAACGAACGGCAGAAACGTGTCTCTACCAGTCTACCTTCGCCGCGGGTAAAGACTGCCAGTAGTAGAGTTGTCTTGCCCGTGGCGTGTGGGTGAGTCCGCGTTCCGTAATCCGTGGGTGCCCCTCGTCGTCGTCGGCACGTCGGGAACTAGCGAATCGCTGTGCGCGAGGGCCACGCGAACCGTGTGCGTGCGTGTTGCGTGGTGCTGTGCATGCGCGCGGCGCGGAGGTATGTGGGGGTGGGTGGGAGAAGGGCGGGGGCGGGCATGGGCATTTGGCAGACAGCGCGTGCGTGCCGCGCAACAGAGGGGTCGTTGGCGGCGGCCCCGCGCTTTCTTCCCACGACCCACAACCTGAGTGCGCTGCCGCTGCTGGGAGCCTGGCCTAACATACATATGCTTTGTGCAAGGGTGCCCGGTGGCACTGTGGCGGCGCCAGTACAGTCGTTAGTCGACACCCTTGGCTACTGATGACGCGCGAGGTGGGGTCGTTGCGGGATGACACCGGACCGGACATCCCCCATAGCAACGATAACCCTGGTGGTATACGTACTCTCTCCGTTTAAAAAAAAACAACGGGATTTGATCCCTCCTAATATAACGAAAATGTTTTTTTATAAAGGGAGTATACTGGTATGTATCTTTCCGAACTTATCATAGCGCTTTTTTTTTCTCTTCTTTAGCTTCTTTAGAGTGCGTTTGGTTCCAAGCTATACTTTACCATCATTTGTTTTTTTAATAATGGAATATAATATCTCGGCTTTTACTCAAAAGAGCTACAACCAATTATTACATAGTAGCTTTCAAGAACATAGTGTAACTCTAAATGAATAGAACATACCGAAGAGAAAAACAAAGAAACCAGCCTAACGTAAGGAGATCACAATTATTAAAGTCTATTTGTAAATCTCCAACCATAATTGGTAAAAAGTTGCATAACCTTAGTCTCCAACTTTCGGCATGCAACATTCAGAAACTCTTCATCTTCATCACACCTTTGTAGTTGTGCCCAAAATCGAAGCCAATGAGTTGCCCTGAAAATGACCTGCATATAAAAAAATGATGGTGATTTGTCAAAAACCATATCGTTTCTACTCAGCCATATTAACATCATTTGTTAATAAATATTATCACACTCACTTAAGGTGATTAAATTTTTTTATCACACTTCAACAAGTTTAAGGGAATCTTGTCACAGAGTCATAGATGTGTGGGACTTAGCTTATTGGAAGAGTCTCTTGTCACAGTTGTAGCTACAACTAACAACTGGCAAGATAATCAAACTTGTCTAACTTTAAGTGTAGCAAACTGTAATAAAATATGGCTTGTAACCGAACACTCCCCAATAGTGTCTTGCCTTCAAGCACCAAGCTTCACTTCACTGCAGTGATTGGCTTAATTGCTCAGTCCGGTCAGCCAGCTCTCGTGCGTGGATCGGAGGAAGCTCGTGATGCGGGAAGAAGCACCGCCGGAGATGAGCCAGCGGCTCCTCCTTGCCATCCATCGCACATTTGCGCGCGTTGCTCGATATTTGGGTGATTTTCACGATTAGCTACCTTGTTAATTACACTATGCTTTTGTTGTCCGTGAACCCTTTGTTCTAGTGCCATGCTAAGAGCATGCCAATACTTCCCCACCTTAGTGTTGGACTACACAAACTTTTTCCCCCTGCTTGGTCAATAATTTGTTACATATTATACCAAAATAAAAATGATATGTTAGATATGCCAAGTCTGTGCTTGTTTGGATATTGGAGATAATGATGCCTTGCAGTCTTGCACGTATACTGCTACTCCCTCTTGATATTCCACGATCGGACTGACAGGACAACGTTATGGTTTAGTAGAGGTTTTGCCAATTGCCGTACATGGGGAAAATAAGAATGTATTGCCTTATTCAAGAAATGAAGCACCTAAGTCGTTGTAGTATAGTGGTGAGTATTCCCGCCTGTCACGCGGGTGACCCGGGTTCGATCCCCGGCAACGGCGAACTCTTTTTTTTTTTTTTTGGCTCTTGTAGAGCTCAGGGCCTCAGGCTCTCCGTTCAACGGAGGGAGTATGATCTAACCTCTTTTTAGTAGCAGAAAAACTATAAATCGAAAATTATCGTATAACAAAGAAATTAGTGATATCTAGTAGAGCCTCTCGTAGGCAAAATTGCTATCGCAAATTCGCAGCTACACCAGTGAAGGCAATAACAAAGAAATTAACAGTATACAATACAGTCCAAAAAAGTTGAGCTCTTTGATTTGCCGTTTACTAATTCAGTGTCATTGTACAGTTCGAACACGTACCATCGAACTTATTAATATACCTTAGTGCTCCCATTGGCCAATTGATATACATCGAACTGGAACAGTTTTTCCCTGTGCCATTCAAATGTTTTGGCAGACGGAGATTGGTTTTATCGCAGTAATGGAACGCATGCACTATCAATCTATCCATATAGTTTCATATCATGGTGAAAAATGGTGGCGTGAATTGGATCATCCGTATTGTCCGTCTCCAAATCTGATAGGCATCACCATAGAATGACTGAAATTTGATCTATAGCCAGTAAGCCTGTGCCAACCGTTCCAAACAGAGTATCTCCACCTCACTGGTGTTTTTGAGCTTTTGATCGAGATGCATTCTTCCTCATCGTCCAAAATGCTGCGCGGTACCGATTCTGCAACTCAACAACAGTATAAATAAGACCATTATTACCAAATATCAAGAAGATTGGCAAAATGCACAAACAATTCATGGGTATTGAACTAGTGATGTTAGACGTCCAACAGAATTCAGTACAGCTGAAATCTCAAGTATTGGAAGCTGGCAGCTTTGAAATATTGCATACTAGCATTGTGAACATCCGCTGAGAGTACTGAGTCAGGCAGAGGCAGAGCCCTCGCTGGGACCAAAGAGGGCATTGGTCTCCCCTTTCTTAGCAAAAAAGAGCATTTAACTGCTCGAATAGTCAGATGCAGGTTGAACTGGTCCTGTGTCGTAGTAATTCTGTAAATTGTATCCTTTAGATTGGCCTTTCATGTATTTTGGCTCACGCTCCACCACTAACTGATACATTCAACAACTGAATTTGGACAACTAGTCTCCTAGCACTCCTAATACACCTGTTGAATTTACTATGCAACAGTTGAACACTATATGAGCCTACAAGGGATTGAGGAACAAGTGGACATCTAGAAGTCCAAATGACCAAGTTTCCAACTGCAGCAAACAGGACTATCACCTTTAAGCTTTCACTGTGCCATTCTAAATATTTGCCATAAATTCAATCACTTCCTAGATATTTGAAGATTAAACCACAGTGAAGACTGTTGAGATTAAAAGATTACCTGCATCATTGATTTCATATTTGCAGTGTATGTGGTATCTATCATTTTCTCCACCTGAAAACCACAAATCAAAGTAATCCATTCACATATTTTTGCAGTGAGGTGATGCACTTTCTGTCTAATCATAACCCTTCACTCTTTTTTTTTTACAACAATGCATATATATAATAAACATGTATTGCACTTTTTTTTGCAAGATACAAGTGTACAAATCCAACGTATTGGTGCACTATGCATATGCATATGCATAGTTTGGAGTTTCCTCAATTATAGCCCAAAACTTTTTTTTTTTTGCAAAACACTCACCTCCATCACAAATCCATAATGGTAAGCAACTCTTTTCACATCTTCCAAACTCAGTTCAATAGACATATCCTGTGTTTAAGGAGATAAATTAAGTTCCTCAAGACATAGTAGCACCTTCAAGGATTCAATTAGCATAGCATTCATTCATTTAACTAGTATAATAAGGGGAGAGAACTAATTACATCATCTGGTCCATAGGAGTCAGCGAAGTGATACAGAAGCGGACCCAAATTTATCCAGACCTGTTGGTTGAAATTGCATAATTATCAATGACAGATAAGAAACAGTAAATAAACAACATATACCGAATTATAAATTTCCCCGTAAACTGACTCAAAAAAACATTAGCACTGATTCATCAAGAATAGTTTATCAGAGTTTAATCCTATAAAAAGAGACTCACCCCACCATCCTTGAGAACTTTTGATATGATCTCTATATATTCAACGATATTGTGTGCCGTATCCAAGAAGAAGCATGTTACAACAGCATCCCATGAAGCTGGAGCAAAATATGAGTATTGTGAGAATGTCAAGAAGGCAAAAAACCCGTAGTTACCAATCATACATATCTGAACTAAAAGCAGAACAAATTAACACATCAAGGTCAGAATTAAAGTATTAGACTTCAAAATGACTTCAACCAATAATCATCAGTTTCAGAGTTATTGCATTGCATGCCTCAATAGCCTACAATATTAATTTGAGGAGCTCATTCCTTCTCCATAATACATAAAATCAAGGACCTGGCTTGCAACTGCCTCCTACTTCATTTCTAAGAAAATGCCTATCGTTTGCAATTTAGTTTTTGACGAACGTTAAAGCAATACTCTCACCTTGATTTATTTAATGAGCATTACAAAATAAATCCAAGCAAGCTAACAAATGAACAATAACAGTAATTAATATCCCCCCTTAAAAAATGTACTTCGTATGTATGACAAGAAACAAGACCACCACAAAAGAACAACTCTTTTCCCTTGTTGGCCATGATTTAAAATCGAAACAATCTGACAGAAACAAAACCAGCACAAAATTGTCCTCTTTTTCTGGGGTTCCATCAGAACACATCCATTCTCATTGTGAATTGGTTCTGTACAATTGTCACTCTATTTATATATGCTTTAGACTAACCCCAATGCAAAAAATCTGTTCGAAACGTATCTGTGTTTTTGAATTGTTATTTAATCCCACCGCTTCCAGTTTCTGGCATGCTTTCATTGGGCCACACAAGATTCAAAGGGCAAATGGTACTACAATATTACAATTTAACAAAAAGAGCTAAGTTGAGTGATGCATATCCCTTTATAAGGAAGCCAGGTTAAAATTAATTAACTCATTTTGATTAGTTTATAAGGAAACCAGGTCATCTTACATTCTTGGCTTTCTTCATTGTAGACCTCTACAAAATCACCAGCACACATAGAAAATCCTTCTGTGATCCCTGAGCTGTCAAAAGAAAAGAAGGCAAACATAAGATAAATATGTAGCATAACAAGAGATAACGGACAGTTTCTCTCCTTTTGCAAGGAACATAAGTAAACATTTCTACCTACAGCACAAATAGTACTGAATGACTGAAACAAGCTGAAGCATCAAACTTGAATTCTAGAATTGAATGAAGTTTAGATTCAGGATTCAAACGAAACTGCACAATTAACTAATCATTCAAATATTACAACATCCAAACATAGAATATTTGTAGGTTCTGCAAATAGTCCAGATTTAAATAGGGTGTTTCAATTTCTCTAATCAAATGCTCTTACATAGCCATTTTTGTTGATTTCATATGAAGCTCTTGTAAATATAGAATCATAAATGGTAAATTACCTATAAATGTAATCAATATATTTATGTTTTCATCAACCGTGACGTCCTATATGCACATTATATTATACAAAACTAAGGTCATACGCTATCAAGTGTACAGAGCGATGAATTTTAACACAGCATTTGCAAGCATACTGGTGCTTATGAGAAAAAACAAGGTGCTTTATTACCTTGAGGGGTGAATATCAGGAAATGAAACAGGGCGAAGTTGATCATTGTCTGAAAGAGAATTGCAGTTGCTGTGTATCCAAGGATATATAGTCCACTCATTGGTTTCTTGCGTGCTGATAAAACATGACCAAATATTATTGTGTGATGAACAACTTGATAATGTAAGGTGCTAGTTTTTTTTTTAAAAAAAATATGTATAGCTTAGATTGACCTACTGGTTTAGAATGAAACTTGAACAAATCATCATGTAATACGAGAACTCGTTTCCCTGGCTCACAAAACCTGTTCAAGAGTTAAAACAAGGGTAATTTTCAAGAATATATGATATCAGCTCATTCACAATTTATTTGAGCTTTTTTTCTTTTACCCAGAGTGGATATCTCCAGAGCCAATCTCCCAAGCCCAGCACCAGGAACTAAGCATGAAGGAGGCCTATGAAGTTCAACAAATACACAAGTCAATGATTGATCAAGAATGAAGCTTCAAGCAACTTCCATTTGTATATGAGGTTAAAGGAAATGCTTGCATAAACTATCCACAGTAAATGTGTGGTGTGAGAGGGGACGAGATGTCCTAATATTTATCCAATTCAGAATCACAGGGCATGGGCATGGCAGGCGGCCATAGCCGCAGCGGTTTTTCTTTCATCACAGCCCCTCGCATCGTGTATAGCCATGGAATGGAAGGCAAGTCGTTCGAAAACAGCAGGTAGGAAGCATCAGGTGGGCCCACTGGTCGGACGGCAGGGGCGAGTGGTGAACAGCGGAGGAAAGTCGCTGCAGCTGAGGAAAGCGTGTGGTAAACAGCTGCGCCGGCCCACACCACAGTGAGACGTGGTAAAAATGAGGATGACGTGGATAACAGCGGGATCAAACACGCCATGCTGAAGTCACGTGAATCGCTCTCGTGCGAGAAGAATGCCCTTGTCTTTAATTACCCCGATTTTGAAAACAAGATCACTACCCAGAACAAGGTAAAAAAGTATGGTAGTTCTAAATTATTGTCATAACACAGGGATAAGTCAAGTTTACCTCTCCTTGCTTCGGTTAGGAAATAGACGATTAAGCTCCTCCAGGATGGGCTTATAGCACTCATCACGTTCCTTTTGACCCTACAACAATTTAAGTAACAAAAGGTAATATTTCCTTTCGGATTATATCATTACTTTCAGACAGAAGTTCCACTTCAAGCCAACCCAAAATTGCACAGAAAATACCTCCTGAGCCCAATCCCTGACAATATTTCTTATGATGCATCTAACCTGAATAAACCAGAATAAAATGGATTATAGAAGCTATAAACCAGACAGCATCCAAAAACATGCAAGCTGAAAAACATGTAAAATGTAGGCAAAGGTGCAAGAAACTACATCAGCAAAATATAGCATGATTGAGCACTTCCCATTATGAGGCCAAGGGGAAAAAAATGACAGGAAAAATTAACATATGATAGAAATCAGTAACACCACATATCAGGAAAGATGCCAGCTTTGGTAACAAGGCCAAGGTGCAAGAAACTACACACATGCATACAACATCAGCAAAATATGGCATGATTGAGCACTTGCTATTAAGAAGTTAAAGGGAAAAAAGAAAAATCAGCATATAATGAAAATCAGTAACATCCCCATATCAGAAAAGATGTCAGCTTTGGTAACAACTGTGGCGGTCAACCAACATGAACCTTTGGCTATCTTCTTGACGCATTGCAGTATGCTTTCTGTTCGAAATGTGTCAAATGAGAAGTTGATAGAAACACTTACCTTGTCAACATCAATTGGAGGAACATTCAACTGCAAGGATGGAGCCATGAATTGCTGCGGTATCACCTAAAATAAGATAACAAGAATTAAATAGTTCACATTTATTTATACATATCGTTATCTCCTTAAAAGTATGAGAAGAACAGATAAACAGAGAAAAATCAATGCTTGTTAGACTGAAAATTATGTGTAAATATTGTGTGATGTACTTTTTTTCTCAAAAACACAGGAGGGTTGCATTTCATTTCATTAAGAAGGAAGAAAACACTTATTGCATTCTGCCCTTTATTGCAACCAGAAGATAACCGAACGAACAGCTAGAGATAGCGAAGAACAAATGCATTCTGCCATTTATTGCAACCAGAAGATAACAAGAATGCCACATCCATGTATTACTCCTTTAGATTCATAGTGATAAAATTCAAGCATGAAAGCTAAACTATGTTCTGCATCATGCAATTATAAATTATAAGGAATACACAACAGCTTACATCTTGCAGGTGGAGCTTACATTCTCATCAGCAGAACATGCAACACAATCTGTATCTTGACAGTTAGCTGCTGCATCCATGGCTTTATCACCATTACATGATTTATCTTCAACCTGAGATGCCCCCAATTTGTCACCAACCGGCCGGGAGCAACTTTCCATGTCAACTACCTCGTCCTGTTTGATACTTACATCAGTCAAAACGTGTGATATCACCAATTTTGTACTCCCTCCAGGCTGATAATACTTGTCGTTTTAGATAAGGGTGAGGTCAAACTTTAGAATCTTTGATTATGAATCATTTTTAAAATATTTGTCTTTCAAATATGGTGACTACATGTATAGATTAGTCTTGAAAAGTACTTTAATAAAATCATATATTTATTAACACTTTTATACATATTATAATAGAAAATAATGGTCAAAGTTGTTTTTTGGAGACCGTGTCCTTGTCCAAAACGACAAGTATTATCAACCCGGAGGGAGTAGTGTATATGGCTTCAACATGGAAGCAGCCATTATTTTTAAAATTGAACAAAAAGGATCAAGACAAGACATAAGGCCTACCTTGTTGTCAGTTTCTCTTGAGAGTTCATGAGTCTTGTCGTCTTTCCTGGGGCAACCGTCTGGTTCATGCAACTCGGAATTGCTTACAGAGATAGAACTTCTAAAGCAATCACCCCTATCGACAGAATGAGCACAATCTGCATGACAATGTCCATGCATGTTCTCTGCGCAATCATGACCATCCATATCTACATGCTGACTCATGTCGAAAGGAGGCTCAAATGCCTGCAGTAATATACCTTTTAAGGATAGCATCATGTACATTAAAGTTTTCACCTAACGTACAATCTTCCCACCCCGACAACCCAAACCACATATACACAATAACACAAACATACCTCAAGCATGTCCATGATGAATGATGCATTCATGGATATACACCTGTGAAGTAATAAACAATTACAAAACAATAATAAAGTCCATCACAGTAAGCAAAAGGAGTGGCCATAACTAGTTTAAGCAGCATGCATTGATTTTTCAGAAAAATCCGGCGGAGAATTTAAGATAGAACATCATTGGTAGAACTAAAAAATGTTGACTAAATAAATAAAGTACAGTGCATCAGATATACAAAATGCTTTAGATGATTTCAAACATGACAAATAGATCTACTGCAAAACTGTATTTCACAATATTTAAGCACAAGCAGTGGAACTAATAAGTATTGGCCACTACTACAAGCATTAAGCCCATAACATTACTTACCATCTCAGCCTTTGGTACTTCAGACCAAGGTTAAAAAGAAGTTCCTACACAAGAAAAGACATAAGATATGTGAATGAACATACAGAGTAAGATAACCTATTACAAGTCAAAATGAAATCCAAAAGTGATTAGCCAAGAGGAAGTGGTGGTTGAATATAAAAAGGTAAAACGGGTATGGTGACTCAAATACAAACCTTGTGGGCAGGAGGAAGCCTTTTGAATGATCGCTCATATCTCTTGACATCCCTTTCTGCAGCATCGTGGTAGCTATCACAATAGCCATACAAAATATTATTATTTAATTAGAAAAACACTAATATAAGTTAAATGGTTCCCATGTAGCTATGTTCCACATACACCATTTCACATTTAGATTTTCCATACCAATAAATGTTCAAATTCAGAAGCCATTGTATTGCCTGCATTCTTTTCTTATACTCCCTCCGTTTCAAAATGTTTGACACCGTTGACTTTTTAGTACGTGTTTGACCATTCGTCTTATTCAAAAAATTTAAGTAATTATTTATTCTTTTCGTATCATTTGATTCATTGTTAAATATACTTTCATGTACACATATAGTTTTACATATTTCACAAATTTTTTTAATAAGACGAACGGTCAAACACGTACTAATAAGTCAACAGTGCCAAACATTTTGAAACGGAGGGAGTAAGTCATTTCAACACTGGCACAGTCTTCGCTACACTTGTTTTGTCCCCATGGCCCCCACCTTTTCCAATTGTGTTCATATGTTGGACGAAAATTTCAAAATACAATTTTATGTTAGAAGTTTTGAAGGTAAATCTACCCATACCATTGCCATGTACCAAGTCCTAACTATTTTAGAGTGTACTAGGGCAATAGCACTGCGTCCCGGCTCATCAAGGAGCCCAAGCATCCACATAGGGAAAAAGTAAATGAGGCTCCATCTCTCCCAGTACGCATAGCTTTAGATGGGGTCCACCATTAATTTTTTTTCAGGCAGGCCCCACCACAAAAAATCGTCATTTCCTCCTTCGGAGAAAAATCGCTTGCACCTCCCATTTTCCGCCGCTCCTTCCCCATCTCTCTCTCTCTCCTCTCCCTCAATCGGCTCCCATGGCGCCAAACCCCCACCCTCCTCTTCGTCCTCTCCCACGGCGGCGCACGGCGACGACTCCTCCGCCCCCCTCCTCTCCCACGGCGGCGCACAGCGGCGACTCCCCCACCCCCTCCTCTCCCACCGGCGGCACAGATCTGGCTCCCCCTCCCCATTCCCCAAACACCGCCGGCGCCGCTTGGGAGAAGGCGGTGGTGGAAGCAGCTCGACAGCATCGGGCACCTCTCCCCTCCCTCTCCGGCCTCCTCCCTCGGCTACCCCAAGCCCAAGCAGCGGCGGCGGCATCCCCGAGCCCACGCAGTGGCAGCGAGCTCCCTGAGCGCCCCTACTCCGGCGAACTTCTCTCTTCACTCTTCAGTCATCCACCGTTCTTCTCCTTTCTCACTCTCGCTCTTACTTTCTTGTTACGCGTGGAGGAGCATTTTTTCTGACAAAGTTGCTGCGAGGTTCTTGTGACCAACTCTGATCACGCGAAGCTGGTGAGGGAACAGTCTCCACTCCCCTCTCTCCTCCACACAAGCGATTTGCCTACGTGGACCAACATTGCCATACGCCACGTGTGTGCACTGTGAATGGCCTTAGTGGTAAATGTTTTCAAATGTTAACTGCAAGCGTTCTAAAGAAGATAGGTAAAACATAGGGAGTACTTCTGCAATATCAATGCTAAAACTTGAAAAGAAAACAAGATTTGACAAAAGTACAAGTGTTGATGCAATAATACTTTGATTATGGAATTTCTAAATAAAAAATAGCAATTCCAGGAGATATCACTTGCTCACATCACATATAGTAACTTTTAAGGGTCACGCCTATGAGTTGGTTTATCAAGATTTTCGTAAAGACTTCAACGGGGAAAAAAGAAATGTTCTCTCACTCCAATCAACAACGTTCATAGCATGGTTGTAGTGTAGAACTCCCCAAGTCCCAACGAAGCCTACCGCCCTTCGCGGATGGGTAATCCCCGTAACCACAGATCAACTCTATCCAGAACCTCACACCACCCTCGAATCGGCGACTACTCCTAAACCCTACAACTGAGAAACAACACCAACTCGAACTAAGTTGTAACCCACACACACCCCCACAAGCCTCGGAACAAAGCGGGGGGAGCCTGTAGAACGGAGCTACGCGCCTCTACGCGACCAACCAACCGCCGCCCCGGCGAGCAAGGAGAGTGGCGTGGCAGACGAGACGAGCTGGGAGGGGAGGGGAGGGGGACGGGATGGGGGTTGACGTACTTGGCGTAGGCGGCGATGATGCGGCGGAGTGAGCTGATCTCGAGCGCCTCCTCCTGCTCGGTGTACCGCCGTTCGGCCATCCTCCCCGGCGGCGGCGGCGGCGAGGCGGAGGAGCGCAGCTTTCTCCAGATGAATTGGTGGGCCTCCGAATGATGGGTCGCGTCTCGCGTCGCGTGGGGGAGGTCTTTGCTTCAGTTATGCTCAGGGGCAAAGCCCACTAGGAATTTTGCCGGGTGAACCAAGCCAATATGGAAAAGAAGAAATGGAATTTCATAACTCAAATATTCGTCTCAGAAATTAACTACTCCTATGATGATAAGTCTCATCGGTAAGCGATGATATTAACTACTCCTATCACATCAAACTAAGCATGGATCATCATATTTTGATATTTATATGCTGGCCTAAACTCTTGAAGATCTTCATAGAAATAGAGTTCATGGATTTGGATTTGAAAGGATGAGTGCGCATGTGTATAAAAGAGTTTGCATTTGCAATGTGTTTTGAAGGGGAAAAAAAGGATAGATCATCCCATTGTTTCATATCATAAGACTTGTCTTGAGTTAAAATTTTTTAGTTTGACCAAGTTCATAACAACATAGCAACATGCCAACATCTAACATTAAAAAATCCACAATTAATTATAATTTTGAAGTATATTTTCTTGTGTTGAAAATGCTGAAACATTTTAAACTTGAATTTGACTTGGCACAAACCGATGGAGTAGCTTCATCCGATTTATATACTATGAAACATATTGACACAGCGATTTATATATCTCGATCTTCATTTCGCCCTATTTTAGTATAAAATATAGGTTGCAGGTTTATATCTATTTGATTTTTGTAGACGCATATAAAGCTAACACGAACACACGATGCACCGAGAACGATATGTATGGCTTTTCCGATGAGATGAAACACTATATACGCTGCTAACCATCGAACGATGTTACTTGATACGGTCTGTGACGACCATTTCAGTTAGTACTCCTTCCGTTTTAAGTTTTTGTTTGTATTGTTTGACCACTCGTCTTATTCAAAAAATTTGTGCAAATATAAAAAAAAAAAGTTATGCTTAAAGTACTTTGAATAATAAAGTAAGTAAAAAAATAAATAATAATTCTAAAATTTTTTGAATAAGACAAGTGGTTAAACAGTGTAGGTAAAAACTCAAAATCCCTTTATATTATGGGACGGAGGGAGTATGTTACAAGCTAATTAAGAGCCCTGGGAAGGCAGAACAAAAGAGGGGTGAATTTAATTGCAATACACATGCCCGTCAGAAATGGTAGCAAGTATACACTAGCTGTAACCTGAGACCCATCATCACCGAAGCTGTAACCCAAACACACGGCGAACCAAACAAACATCGCCGCGTACAGCAAACACCACTCTTTGGACAGAGGAGGGATTTTTGTATGAAGAATTTGAGAAGAGAAAGCATCGGTTAGAATTTACAAAGCTTGGACGGGAAACAAGATCAAAAGGAACCAATTTTTTTCTTGTTTTAATTATCTGTGTTTTACTTTTGAAAACCTCCTTATCCTATTTATGTCGAGGTTGGTATTGTTCTGGTGGAATGGTGGAGTGAGATGAAGGTTGCCCCTCCTTATGGGGCAACATATTTAAGAAACTTCCTTGAACAGGCTCATCTTCATCCATGCTCTCTGTTTTAAGGATAAAAGCAAGTTAAACATATCATGAAAAACGGTACATGGTGTATAAGGAACCAATAGGTAATAATAGTGCTCAATACCAAATAATGTCTTGATAGTTGGCCGCTTTGACTTGGAACTCTTCTTCTTCAACTCAGCTGTTCCATAAGCACAACATTTTTTTTCAAACAAAAGACACTAAAAATGCATAATCTAAAGAAAGGCATCATCATTTACAATTTCATTAGAGAGAGAGAGAGAGTGCTAACCAATTCCTGCAACCTCATCATCATTTACAATTTCAAAATTCTTATATGTATAGCCAACAAAGTTTGCATCCTTGGACGGAAGCATCTGCAAAAATAGCAGTGCTCTTCGTTTTAGTTCATTGGCTAAGAGGCAATACGAAAATGAAACATCTCTAATTAAGCATGTTAATTTCTGCCTCCTAAAAGCAATAGTTGGAAATTTTGGAAATGTTCCTAATACATACTAGTTTTTTATATATTTTTATGGCTACAGACTAGCTAGCAGTGAATCACAAGCTTCATGCCCATGGTCCATCACTAGTCAAGCTATGTATGTTCCCTATCTACATTCTACAGATAGCAGAAAATAGAGTCGCACAGGCGACACACGTGCTGCCGTAAAGTATATATGATATAACAGTTGTTTGACCAACACATATGCAGCTTCATTATTAGGAATGTGTTTCCAACTACTCAGTAATTAGCATTTCATGGTGAAGTCACACATACCTTTCTCCATGGACCTGACTTAGATGAACTTTGAATTTGTGCTCCGGTCTGCAAAATAGTAAGAAAGGTAAGTACAGGTGTCATAACTTCAGCTTTCTATACAGTTTACCAAAATAGCATACTCGTAGTTTTAGGTTTCACTCTCAAAAGACCAGAAATAAACATGTTACCATGGAGACGATGTAAAACGTGGCTAAGTTGTCATGCATATTAGAAAATCATAATGCTAAATGCAGCAAGGTTTAAGATCACAACCTAATAAAACAAGGTGAAACGAAATCCCTCCTCAAATTATCACATGAATCAGACCAATGGGAAAACGACTGAAATTTACCTCCTCAAATTTCTCAAAATTCTGAGTATCCAACTCGCTGTTAACTTCTGGTATGAAAGCAGCTTTCATCTGATACAATCTTTCCCATGGGAGACCTCTAAACCATGGATGTGCCTAAAGTAGAGCATATGACGATAATAATTAAGCACACAGTTGAGAGCAATAAAGATATTGTACATATAGAAGAGAGCGCACTTTTATCTCATGGGCTCCTTTTGTTCCAAGTCTCTGCTCAACATTACATAGAAGTTTGCTGATGAGATCCTTAGCTTCAGGAGAAAGCTTTGCCTCTTCAGGGAATTTCAAGTGACTTCTCCAGTTTACAATCTGCAAATGAAGAATAGAAAATAAAATTGGATGAAACACATGCTCATGAAGCTACATGAGTATTTCCTGTACTGGAGTAAACAAGCTTAGCTGAAAGCATTGGGAAATACAGCCTTCCACAAAATTTTCCCACTATAGGGCACTTCATAAGGAAAAACCAAGGTCATGCGTGATTATTGGAGTCCACAAACTGTATAGGCTGAGCTCCGAGGACCAGTTGCTACCATCATCATCTAGCCACTGACCCACATAATAATTTGATTACATGCAGGTCACTAGTACATTACTATGGCAAATACTGCATTCTGCTGTGTTGATTGTGCGATAAAATTTGGCATAAGGTTGTCTTCTTGCAAGTTGGGTGAGGTTTGCTTAGACTGAATATAGAAAATTCCAAACAATTACCCTCTAGATAACAAATTAAAAAAAACTGTGGGCAAAGTACATGCCTTTCTGCAGGTTGACATTGGATCCTCCGAATAGAATGGAGGATAACCAACAAGCATTTCATACATAATTGCACCAAGGGACCACCTAAGATCAAAATAAAATGTGAGAACAAGAACGAAGCACATGGATGAGGAAAAATAACATGACTTAACAATTATGGACAATTACAAGATAAGAGACTAACCAGTCACATTCCATTCCATATCCTTTCTTCAGCAGAACCTCTGGAGCAATGTAATCAGGAGTACCAACCGTTGAATATGCCTGCATGCCAAAAAAAAAAGAGTATAACTAAGCATACTACCATATATTGATGAGAGCCTAGAAAACTAGACTCATGTACATATTCACTTGCCAACGTGGCAAAACGTAGTCAGAGAGCAAAATGTGAAAAATTCAAGATAAACGTTAAATGATTTTTCATATAATAAATACCAAGTTTCATCAACAGCTAAATAATGCATGATTTACACAATCCACTAAAACTTTGAAGCTTAGAGCATGAAATTTTTTATTTCCTTGGAATCGTGCACTGTAACACTGCACATTGTACACAAATGCCTGAATTAAGTCTGTCCAGGAATAGCATCATTTATGCTTCTGCACGCAAATATTCTTTATTCAGAAATATTCAATGTTCACCGACTCTAAAAACCTTGTCTTGAGGAAGCACAAATGAATCTTGAAAATCCATCGTAGCAAAATAATTTTCATGTGGTTTTATGCCAGGTAAAAGACCAAAGTATTATTAGCCCAGATGTTCAAACAAAAGCTCACAACTAGTGTGAATTTACTATAAAAACTATTAAATGCATCAACTTGATGTGGGCATGTGGCATCAGGCATCACAACATTGGCAAGGTTCTATCAAATATCAATTAGTTGATTCAGTTTCAGATATGCTACTTACCAGCATTCGTCGGTTCTTTTGCCAATGCGACAATTGCTCCTGCTGTGTGCGCTTTAGAGCAGAAGAGCTTAACCGGCTGCTACTATCAGGTAAAGGCTTGGTGCCCTTTGTAGATGTATAATCTGGCTCATTCAAATTTGGAAAATTACTGCTATCCAAAGGTTTACACAATCCAAAGTCAGAAAGCTTCAAGTGACCACTGCGATCTAACAATAGATTGTCTGGTTTGATATCCCTGAAAAAAAAACACCAAGGTTATCTTTGGAATCATCAAATTTCTTACCAAAACTTGGGAACACTTATTTGATACCGGTGAATGTAGCTGTGCTTGTGAATAGATTCTATTGCTAATACGGTTTCTGCAATGTAAAATCTGGCCTCATCTTCTGTCAGTGTGTCCTTGCGCATAAGCAAAGTCATCATGTCACCACCAGGAAGGTACTCCATGATGAGATACAAGTATTCTTCATCTTGAAAAGAATAGTAGAGCTTGACTATAAAAGCACTATCAACTTCTGCAAGAAGGTTTCTTTCAGCTTTGACATGCTCAACCTGAAATTTGTACAACCATGTCAAAGCATACGTGTAAATCAGAAATAGAAACTACAAAATAATGCAGCCAGACCATACATGGTACCTGGCCCCTACGAAGCATCTCAGATTTCTTAAGCTTTTTCATTGCATATACATTCTTAGACGCCTTCTCTCTACAAAGACGCACCTGCATAATTACAATTTACAGTGACATCAAGAGCGATGCACATTTAAATGGCCTCAAAA